AAGAAATGCCTCTTAAATGTTTTACACTGACAGTTAAACCTGAACACTTCCTACCTCAAACACATTTTGGAGCACTGTTTTTGACAGAAGCAGCCACTGCCAGAACCCACATCCCACTGTGCTTTCGCTTAGCTGGCAGCCGTGACTGCAGATCCCCCCCTGTGATTAAACAACCACACTGACCACAGTCCATTCTGGCCAGCAGGACCTGAGGTGTGAGATTACAGGGGGCATGGTTAAGAATTAGCCTCTAGAGAACATTATCTGCCCGCACGCTCTGTGACGTAATGATGATACATGTTGGGACGATTCCCTTGCTCTTTCACTCTACTGTTGACATCCTGTCCGCATACTGTGGTGGATGAGTAGGTCTGAAAAGGATAAGGAAAAGGATATGAATCTACAAAGGTTAAGTGAGCAGTCCCTCTCTGAATAGCCGTTGAATCACACGGATGCTCCGTAGCTGCTGTCAGGGAAGGAATGCAAAACATTTGGTGACACTTTCCTAAATCAATTTGCAGTCAGCGAGTCAGAAGAATGCTGTTTTTATGTCATGGCCCAATTTCACATAAGTAACTTTGATACTCAGACAAACGTTTCTCTGTGCAGTTTGGGCCCATGCTGTCACATGACCTCTAAACACAACCCAGCATGGAAATTCATTTGTAACCCCTAAGCAATTAATGACTCACTAAAAGATAATCCCTTTGTGAGTTCAATCAAGCAGCCTTTTGTCTGTACTGTCTATCTGAGCGCCTAGCATGACCTCTCCATCCGTTTGAAACTCCCCCAACTCCCCGCAGGCTCGACCCAGGACAGCGGGCTGTTTTCCTGTTTTCACTCTCTTCTCTTCTTCTCTCCTCAAGATGCTGCTAATGAAGTCATCCTCATATGACTATAGGCCATTTGTCTCGGCTTCACACTTAATGAATCAGAGCATACACAGGCAGACAAAGACCTAATTACCTCACTACAGACAGAAGCATTAATAGAATCTGAACTAGTTGCCTCAGTGTTTGGTGTCACTGGAAGTCTTTATATAAATGTATATAACAATTCTCCAGTGACTCTGTACATCATATTCCTAATGCAAATATTTGTTGGTTGACAAAACTAGTGATTTACTGATCCAATATGCTTGATATTAAGAGATACATTTAATGATGATCTGAAAATGTATTATTAAATAACTAATGCACGACCAGCTAGGATAGGTCAACTGCACACAAAACCCCCTCCAAACCTGAGTCACTTGTAATACCCAAACAAACCAAAAATTGTAATTGAGAGAGCATAAAAACAAGTAAGAAAGGGAGCAGAGAAGCAGTGGATAAAGGGTTGATATCTCCAGTTTTTGCCACTCTAAGAGGTACAAATGCAAACTTGACCAAACCCATTATGAAGAGAATAAGATTAAACATCTTCAATTCTAGGATACTGTCTTCTAAGGAAAAAGAGTTTCTCATAGACATTGTCACCATTACAAAATATTAACCACTATGTGAGAAAATATCTGCTGCTTTGATAAAAAGTCAAAGTTACAATCATGGAAACATAAAAACTTGAAGGGAGAATGGCAATGGCACCTGTGGCTCATGGGTAGTATTTTGGTTAGTATTTTGATTTCTGTGCCGTCCACATAAACCTATAGCACTGTTACATTATCCTGTGTTTCTATTTCAAGTAATATTGATGTTATAATTTAAAGAAAAGTACATATTAGGAGTAAAAATGGAAAAACGCGCTGCTTCGGACAGAGCAGGTGTTGTCGATAAAGTTGTACTTGAGTTCATCTGACGGCATTTAAATTGGAAAGAATTATAATTGGGATTGGTCACTACCATGAGTAAAGGTATCAGAATATCAGGAGGGCAAAGCGACATCAGTGCATCACAAGGCAAAACCTGAGTTAACCGTCCCGAAAAATGAAGCTGATTGATTTCGCAAGACTTTGAATTAAAAGGTTTTCTCACCGCAGCAGTCAACGCAACTGCACAGTTGTTGCCATGATGTTTGACAGAGTACTTGACTTATGAAAACATCACATCAGCCTTGTGGCATCCTCTCTGTCTGTGCTCCTCTGAACGACTTTGACCGAGCTTGTAGACGGACACATTACACCCAGAACACACTGGCACCATCTCAAGCCTGTCATTGGTCTGCCTTTGGCTCAGCCTGTGGTCTTAAGCCAAGAATAATGTTGTTGACCTGCTGGAGTGACTGAAGTGCTGCGAATCATGTCTGTACAAACAGTTTTAGCTCTGGTGTCCCTTTGAGTCTTTGTGACCATCTGAAGGGGAAAAGCTCTACCCTCAAATACTCTTCCACTGTTAGAAATCTGTTAGAATTTAATGTTTCAGTCGTCTCACTTTACCTCAACCTGCCCCGTCTACTTGAACATAAGTTAGCGACTTAGATTTCCCAGAATAACCTTTGACAACTCCCATAGGAGAAGAGGCAAGAACAAATTTGCATTGTTGTGGGTTGTTTGCGTAGTTGGAAAGAGCAAGAGTGCACTAAAGAGTTTTTTGGATTTGAGAACAAGTTACTGAAAGCTCAACTTGTTGCTGCTTTGCATTCAGGTCTATTTGGGGTCATTGTGGATGAAAAAATCGGATTTGTTACCAACTGTTTTTGTCTGTTGACATGTTACTATAGATTGCTCTGTTGGTTTTGAACAAGTTTAATACATCTGATGTTGTGAGGACAATGTGACAAAGCTTGAGGCCTCCTTGTTTTTAAGGCGACCCATGTACCGAGGCTGAGTCCTTGCTGCAGCGGCCCGGGGTTCGAATCCGACCTGCGGTTCTTTGCTGCGTGTCATCCCCTCTCTCTCTGTCCGCCTTTCCTGTCTATCTTCAGCTATCTCTATCATAAAGGCAATAAAAAAAAAAGCCCCCCCTTACAGAGAAAAGTCTGGGAACCACCGAGTTATGATATATGAGATTTGTGTTTTATGGCCGTTGATATGGAGCTAGCCAAGTGTAGAAAGAATACAAACTGTCGGCTGTAAAAATGTCTTAACTATGCATCTTTTTTACACAAAACAGGTGGACGAATACACAGCGCCTGAACATAAATCAGCTCACAGTATTTTAGTTGTTCCACATCCTGCTTCCTGCTGGTCCAACACTAACTGTTGAATGTCAAGCCTTGGAATAAAAAAAACAGTGAATGGTCTGATATCTGACATGCCTGACTCGAGGTTCCTCAATCTGTGTGTGAGCAGTTTGTTGTTGTGAGCCTTTTTGCTTGGTTTTTATTGGCTGTCCATTCAGGAAGTTCTCACTACTTAGAAACACTGACGGATGGTAGTCTGTCCTCGTCTGACCCGCAGTTCCTGAACCAGGCAGGTTAGCCAGTTCACAGACAGATGGAGTGGTGAACAGAATACCAGCTCATCTGGGAATATCGAATGCTCCAGGCATCGCATTTAAAACCCACATTTCTGGATGAGAAGTGATATCGTCACTGTTCCTCAGTTTGACCTTGTGTGCTCTTTCTTTGTCCAGACAGCAGAGCTGAATATGTTTTTCCAGAGAGTCTGCCGTTTTAATGATTTGTTCAGCCTGGTGAGTCATAAATGAAGGGCGAGTTCACTGCTGTGATCCAGTTGTTTGAGCCAGTAGCAGAAAGGCTAAAGTGTCCTGGGTTCTCATGGGATTTTAAAAAGCATCTAAATGGTGTGATGATCTTTGCCCATAGACTTACCATTGGACAGAGATCATCTAAAGCTTCAAATGCTTTTGAGAACAGCCCTGGCCAGAGTTTCAGTTTACTTGCACTTGTTTTCTACTAAATGTTTGTTCTGATGTATTTCCCTATAGGGCTACATTATGAACACACATGTTGAAACGCATTGCAAACCAAGAGTCATTGATTCATTTATAAACACTATAAATTGCTGCAACACTACTAGCCAATCATTGCCCACCCTGAAAGAAAATACCTAGAGATGCACCGATTTATCAGCCAAGGTCTCGGCCGAGTTGACAAACCCGATGGCTGATGTTTATCTGTGGTGTCGTAAATGTTAGGTTATTGTAGGTTAAATGCAGGTTATTTCTAACTCAGATATTGGTTAAATAATCACCTCTGTTTTCCAGCACTGGTACAAATTGCACATAAACATCAGTATAGGCCCAGGATTTCGGAATTTCAGAAAATCGGTACATCCCTAAAAACGGCGTGATGTTTTTGAAATTCACGTGAAATTTAGCATTGAACCCTTTGACAGCTTGCAGTTTCAGCTGTAAATGTGTGCATAAATATATATTAGCTCGAAGCTTTTGTAATGTTGCCTGTCATCTTGCCATTAGCTTTCTCCCAGGATGCTTGCATGTTAGTAAGTAGCGCTGGTGCAGGGTGGGGTCAGTGAGGGGTGTTTTCCCATTCCACAGACGCAGGGCTCGGGGCAGCTCTAAGTGATTCAGTGAGGAATTTGTTTACTTGTGGCGGAGCTACAAATAACTGCAGGGTTTATATAGGGCAAAAAACGACTTCCCCTCCAGGCAGCCATACAACATAAACAGAGCCGCGAGGGGAAGTACTGGACCGTCTTATTAAAGCACACCACTACACATGTTCCACACGGCCACATGGATCCCATTACTCACTGAGGAGCTTTTTTCCATCAGGCCTGCTGGTCTTAGCCCCTTCATCCTCACTCTGGCAATTTGTCTGACTCTGACTTAAATAGATCCTAAAACCATGTTATTAATCTGTCTCGGACTGACGCTGTTTGAAACTATGTAAGAGGAAAGGCTTGCGCCGTGCCGTTCAGGCTGACAGTGTTTCAAGACAATGTCTGGCACAAGGCCAAAGTCTCTGTGTGCTTGACCCACAAACAAATTATGCACACCTAAAGCCGACTCAGAACTTGACCCTAAAGGTCTGGCACCAACCTGTGTGTAAGATATGTAATATGTGGCCTCCCTTCCCATTTTTCCCAGTGTGTATTTAATTTCATCTTACCATGTCTTCCTCTCTTTCCCCTTCAGGCGTTTGGGAACGCAAAGACAGCCCACAATAACAACTCAAGTCGCTTTGGCAAATTCATTCAGGTGAACTACCAGGAGAGCGGCACTGTGAGAGGGTAAGGAACCACAGACAAATGCTTTCCACCCCCCCCCCCCAAATAAAGTAATATTTGATTCAAGTTAATCATTTTATTTTACTTTTTGCAGAGCCTATGTGGAGAAATACCTCCTGGAGAAGTCGAGGCTGGTCTATCAGGAGCACAACGAGCGGTGAGCACGTCTCAGAAAAGCAGATCAGAATCAGAATCTTGATGTGAAACTACCAAGTACATGGTTTTGTTGAGCAGACAGTGACTGCCAACTAAAATAAATTACAAACTGTCAAATGTTGGCCTCCAAATGTCCCCACCAAACTTCCTCAAAGACCTCTTATCGCTCTCGTACACATTTGTCTATAAACTTAAGATACTATACTTCTAATATATTATATCAACACTTGGCAATTCCAGCACAATCTGGTATGTTGAGTCAATGTTACATGACATTTGAACTGCACTTTGTTTAAAACTATACTTACTAAATAAAGAAAAATGGTGTTGGCAGCAAGTATAAAATAAATGGAGTTTTCGATTTTGGCAAAAAACGTGCATCTGAGTGACTTTAACTCAGAAAGCCTGTTGTTCCAGTTTGCCAAAGTGTAGTTCATGAAATGAATTGAGCTCTAAGTGGTGTTGACACTAATGTGCTGGACTGGCTGGACAGTGCGGCGAGGGTTAACCTCACCATGGGGGGCTCACAGTGGGCCCCCTGCGTTAGTCGCCTCTTATTGAGATAGATTGCTGACTCCAGGCCCATAAAAGCTTGTATATGTGTGTGTGTGTGTATTCCAAAAGACCTTTGGTCGCACAGCTGCTACACACTATTGACCTCTGACCTGTATGCTACAGCTTAATGCTATCAGAGGAAAAGTGCACACCTACATACAAACACACTTGTATGCAAAAACAAACTGAAATAACAGAGATGTCATCCTTTTTTTTCTATAAATTAAAATTAAAGGTGCAGTAACGGATTTTGGAGAAAGATTGATTGTTGAGACTCATTCCCAGGTCGTCAAATACTTAGAGTTGCTCCAATAACGATACCAGTATCGGAAATTCCTCCGACGCTGCTGCAAATATGGTATTGGGTATCGGCTACTACGCATATACACGATACCACTTGAGTTATTAGCCCCAGAATGGGAGCCTGCTACTTCCATGTAGTTGCACATTTCCCCTTTTATTTTTTTGTGTGAAGTCATGAACCGCCCTACTCTGACTCTGACAAAGGGTTTAACCTGAGCTAAGCCATACACAGAGGTGTCAAAAGTACACACAACAGAAGTACAAAAAAAGACTGCGGTAAAAGTAGAAGTACAGATTCAACTTCTCTACTCAAGTAAAAGTGAAAAGTACTCTCTCGGTTTCTCTGGAAGACATTTCTACCAGCTGTTTCTGAGCGAGGCTAACCGTAACTTCAAATAGGGTTGAGTCTCCCTCTCTTATCTGTTTCGTCTTTTGTGTTGTTTTCATCATGTTACATCTGTCATGCGTGATATGCACCCTTCTTGATGTTTGAAAGGCGTGCAATGATACAAAATAAAAATAATAATTGATAATGCCCTTCAGATACATACACGTATCAATCCATTTGTGTCACTGTCAGACTGTAGAGCTATTTAACAATTATTTGAACAAAAAACCTGTTGTTTTTTTCAGGAACTACCATGTGTTTTACTACCTGCTGGCAGGAGCGAGTGAAGATGAGAGGAAAGCCTTTCACCTCATGAAGCCTGAAGAATACCATTACCTCAGTCAGGTGGGACCGTCACACATTTAAAAGAATAAGAGATCAATAAGTTAATCTGGTTTTGTCTCACGCCGTTTCTCTTTAAGAGTTTTGTGTTTATGTGTATGTCATCGTTTTCATTTACTTGTATTGTGTAGTTGTGTCTGTTTTTGTCTGTATTGTTGTCATCCACCAGTCCGACGACCCCAGCAAACCAGCAACAGTTACCTTTGTGTCTCTGCAGACAGGAAAGAGAGAGTCGGGACACAAAGGAAACACATTCCACTATTGGTGGCTTTCAACACCTTCTATATAGATCCCCTCTCTCTCTCTCTCTCTCTCTCTGTCTCTCTGTCTCTGTCTCTCTCTCTCTCTCTCTCTCTCTCTCTCTCTCTCTCTCTCTGTCACACACGCACACACACACATATATGAACAAAACCTGTCACTGTCTGATCTCATGTTTCAGAGAGACAGGCACGAGTGTGTTATTTTTATTTATCTGTGGGTGTGTCTGTTTGTGCTCATTTGATATTACTTTGTGTTTTGTGGGTGTAACTGCATGTTTGTGGGGTTTTGCTTTGACACGTGCACTCACACGCACTCACTCATACACCACTGCCGAGACGGGGTACAAAAACAGTATTTGTCACTTTTCTCTGTTCCTTGTGTTTCCCACAACGAAAACAGGTTTCACATGGCCACGAAACAAAGCCACAATAAGCACATACACACACTTTTACGCGTATGGAATGTGGATGATGTGTAAAACTTGTTGCGTCTGTTCTTCCGAGCTTTGAAAGTCACGCGAAGACAACCAGGGACCCACTCCTCCGAAATCCTTACGCCCACGCCGAAGCGAGCAGGGAATTCCTTCCATTCCTCCTGGCCACTGACGTGCACATGCAAACATACAAACACACAAACACAAATACATACACACATTCTTGCACTCTGCACTCTTATCTATCTCCCTTGTTCCCTTTTGGTTTATTCTGTGTAGTTGAAGTAAAGAAATCACACTCTTGCACCAAATGGAGCCCCTGCATGAATTTCACAACCAATCCAGACAACTTGTTTATAAGCTACATAAACACGTTGCAGTTACGGCTGTGATTCATTTTTCGCACCCTGGTCCTAACTCACTCTGCCTTTTTGCTTTGAGAACCACACCTGTGTCTTTACATCTTTTAATCTTGCCCATTAACCAGAAATGTACATTGAACTGGCCAATGTCCAGAGCAAGCCATATGTTTTTAGGTTGATTTCCTGATTAGTTTAAATATTGAATGAAAATTATTTTGCAGACACTTGAAACTTTCTTTAGATGCTTGAAATATTAAATCCATCAATTGCAGTGAAGAATTAACTTTGTTTCCCTCCAAAAGTCACATTAGTATTTTGTAAGCAAGACTCTCAAAGATGGTGCATTTAAGGACACCATGACTGAATCTTGCTCGCTGCCAAAATGCTTTGACAAGACAAAGAAAATATACTTTGCATACCCGAGAAGACAAGGATGTTTAAAAATCAAACGTCAAACCTGGAGAAGGATTTTAAACTTGAAGACCACGTGACGCAATAATTGCTTTAACACAAAACAGATTTCATATTTCAAGCTTTAGTTTAACGTGTCTGCAAGTTGATTTGATACATGAACGGAAATCAGTGGCTTTTTGGAATATAGGAAATCAATCATAAAAACTCATGGTATGCTTTAAAAAAATGGTCATTCTGAATCCTTAATGTGCGTGTGTATTACCAACCTCCACCTTCTGTCCCTGCTTTAATGACTCGATGTGTTGGATCATGAGTGTGTGTTGTTCAGTGTCTGTGAATGCTTTTTGTGTGCATACGTCTGTGCCATCAGTGTCTGTACGTCTGTGAGCGTTTGACTTTGTCCGTGTGTAATGAACAGCCATTGCTTGCGTCTTAACAGCACGTCCTTCCGTCGCTGTTAGTTGCACATAAATCTCTGTACATGTTTAAGTGTATGTGTTCTCATTGGAATGCTGCTGTCTAACCGTAACCTTGCCCTCCTGTAAACTCTGCCTTAACATTTCCAGATGACAAAGAAAACCCACCAACTGCACTGGGACAGTTACTATGAGAGTGAACCGGTCAGTATCTGTGCCTCAGCTGTGTATGTACTGTCCGTGTGTCTGTACATGTTGGAGAAGTGTCAACAAGTAGATTTTCCCCGAGCACTCAGTAGATTTTCCCCGAGCACTCAAGCTCAAGCGCACACTTTCCCTGCACAGTTGCACACCCCCCACACTGCCCTCCTCCCTCCGTGCTCATTTTGTATTTTTTTTGCTTTTTGGATATTTCCTGGTTTGGGTTGTGTTTATTTTAGCTTTGTTTGTTTTTGCTTTTCCCTGTTGTGCTGCTTCTCTGAGTTATGTTGGTATGTCTAGTCATATCCTGGCCACTGTAGCTGCCTATGTTGCTGTAACCTGTGTGACTTTTTTGATCATTGACAGTGCAATGTTTTCTAGTAACCCCATGCTTAAACAACACAGTAGAGGGCATCTATGTTGAGATATTTCTATTACAACTACTGAGCATTTCTCAAAGACCTGAAAAAGTCATCAGTAAATACAGGATTTTGTTTCCAACCTTTCTGTATCCTATACATCACATTTACTGAATGACATTTGGAAAAAAGATGTTATCGTCAGTTGGGGCTGACAATGCTGCTCAGTGTTCATGACTAAGACTACACATTAAGATCAAGTGAAGATAGACTGTTGGCAGCAATCAGATCATCCCAGTTAAGTCCAAGAGGTAAAGCAAGTTAATGAGTGTGCTTGTGCAAATGCAAATGTTACTTACTGTAGATTAGGGGCACAAAACATAGTAGGACAAGTTATAACCATAGGTTAAAAAGTGAACTGGAAGTCTCCCAGAGTTCAGGAAGATAATAGCTTTTTTAGGACCAGCGTTTAGGATTTACTGTTATCTAGTGGTCTAGTTGTAGATTGCTAACTAACTAACTAAACACCGCTCGCATCTGTATTTGACAACTACGTAGAAAGTACGGTGGCTCTATTTACAGTATGGCGGTTCAATATGGCGGACTCAAAGGAAGGCGGCCTGAGGCATCTGTAGATAAAAAGGGCTCATTCTAAGGTTATTATAATAAAAACAGACCTATGAATATTATATTCCATTTCTGCCAATAGATCCTAAATGTTACACACTGAACCTTTAAATCATCGTTCAACAGACTTCAGAGAATCTATGCTATAAGTGGCCAGAATACAACATATTGGATTATAGAGTTTTAGTCACAGGCATGCCTCATTGTTCACTAGCTACAGTAGTTAGTGGCTGAGCTGCAGTATATTTACATACTCATACTTCTCTGTTGCCCACAAGTTATTTGCCCAAAGACACACCTTCACCTCTCAGTCATAGATTACGATCACACTTGCCGCTCTGCAGCAGAAATGCTGCGATCAAATGACGTCACTGATCAAAAAAGTCTTTTGTGTTTGGTGTTTTTCTTTGGTTTTGTGGTGGGTGTTAAGATTTCTTTTTATTAACACATGTATGTAACAGTGCACTGTGATTCTTGAGTTATATTCATTCATTTTCCACTCCTTATTTCTCAGTATGTTTACTGTATTCTTTTCATGCTGATAATACTGTGGTATGTAAACTGTGACATTAGTGATTAACAGACGCTATAAATATGCAGTGATTCAGTGTGATTAGTCCTGCAGCAATGGTCTATATAAGGAACAATATAAAAAGGAATTAATAGATATTTCGGACTTTTAAATTTTTTCACCTTTTTCTACACAGCAAGGAAAACAACTATTTTATTACATGTCGGCAAAGGAAATATTATTCCAGATTGATGTATTTTAATGACTATAATGATTTTATAATGTTGTTTTGTTTCATTTACTACATCTGGAAACCTCAAACACCTTTTAACTACACTTACACATTGTTTTCACTGGAAAGAAGTCTAAGTTAGAGCAATGTTTTAAAAATAAATGTAGATGTTCTTGCTATGGAAATGTAACACCAGAGTCACTAACAGGTCAGTGTGAGTTTCTGCCATGAAAGCAGAGAGCAAGAGAGGCAAGAAGGAGGCACGTTGGTTTAGGCTCATGTTTGGAGTGTTTGTCTTTCTGAGGCCTCGGTATGTGATAATTATGGCAGCCATAGTGGAATGGGCCCATAAAGCAAAGAGCAGACCTCACATTACGGTGGGTGTATGTAGTGAAAGACTGTGTAGTTATGTAGTTACATCAAAGCATGTATTCCTAGTCTGGGAAAGATCTGCCTCTTATCATAAACAACTAATCCAGATCCAGATGTATCTGCCATTTTTCTCCTTCTCATGTGTATTTGGTTGCTAAATAACATTTATTTTATTTAATAAGTTCAGTATTTTAATGCTGTGCTGTGTTTTTCTTGTGACTTTATGATTTTAGTCAGTAAGATCTGCACTATGAGTGTATTACATGTGTTAAGATTTGCACTTGCTTGTGTGAACTTTGCGCCTGTCTGCGCACATCACTGTTATTGCATCAAAACAAGCTCCTCCTGTGTCTCCTCTCTGCTAGTTTAACTTGTCGTCCATCACTCAAACACAGGAAAACCCATAAATTGCTGCTCTTCTCAGCTCTTTTGCCAGCTTGCCAAATGTCTGTGGATTGGTTTAGAGGGGAAAGCCAGGCCAGATTTTCCACTACATGAGCAGAACCTACACATGCTGCTGTTCGCTAGACGCTCTGCACATCAGAGCGGAGTGTTGCTGTTCTGTTTGACCGCCAAGCTTCTTAATGATAGCTTATTTTAGTATGAGTCATTCATTTTGTCTGCTTCGGGCCACTCTGCTGTTCTTTGTTTCAGCTGCAAAGTAAACTAAAAAACTATTTTAAGCATCTTTGCTGGACACACTGTAAACATTAAAAGCATTTGGGCGCTGTGTATGTCAACAGTCTTTAGTAAGTCCTTCTTAACTTCATAGTGACTTGTCATTAGCTCTTTTGGCTTCCAGGCTGGTGTGTCGTAACAGCTTGATGACACCCGGTTGCTGCTTTTTTTCCCCGCAGGACTGTTTCGCAGTCGAAGGCGAAGACCTGAAGCATGACTTTGAGAGGCTTCAGCTGGCGATGGAGATGGTGGGCTTTCTTCCTGCCACGCGTAAACAGTGAGTGACACACACACGACCGCAATGAGGGTGTAATAAAATAACATTAACTTTACTATATTAGTCCCCAATGACAGATTTGTTGTGCAATAAGGAAAATATTTTACAGTACAGACAGTCACATATAAACAGTATACATCAATACAGTCCATAGTTTATTGATAAAAGGTTTATGCAGTCTCCTTTACATTGTACTGTACTCATAAGATTAGAATTCCACAGATTTAGAGATACTGCAGCTACAGCTACACTTCCACAGTATTTTTCCCGCTTCTCTAAAACATTCCCTGAACTGTTGTTTAGGATCTTCTGCCTGCTGTCAGCCATTCTTCACCTGGGCAACATCCGCTACAAGAGGAAAACCTACAGGGACGACTCGATCGACATCTGTAACCCAGAGGTGCTCCCCGTTGTCTCTGAACTGCTGGAGGTACTGTAACATACCGCTACTGGGACTTTTTATTGCTGCACATTCTCTAAATGTGTGTTTGGAAAAACAGATGGATGGTGGGATGACCCGGTAGTTCACCTGGTAGAGCGTGCACTCAATGTACAAAGGTTTAACTTTGGCTGTCATTGGGCATTAAAGGCATAAAAAGCTAAAACAATAATAATAATAGAAAAAAACCACAAAAGCAGATAGATTGTGTCAAAGTCTAACATGATGTGACAAAAAATAGACTTTTCACTATTTCACAATAACAAAATATGACATACATTTATATAAAAATAACACCTTGTCATGGTTTAAATGTTGGCATGTTACGTTAGAAAATACTTTTGCTGTATTTAGATTGTTTTGCTCTTCTCTCTAAATGATGTCATTTGCACAAAGACACATTTCTATGTGTTGAATAATTAAGCTCCCAGTGACATTTCTTGGCATATATATATTCTTGTATACTATACTTTTCTTTAACAGACTACTTCTGTGTCAATCACACATAGAAGACTGTTGTATCCTAGTGACTGAGCTTTGTCTCATAGTCTACCATTAACATCCATAAAGTCACATACTGTGTTGTCTTTGTCGAGTGAGGAATGGTTGGGGACATATTATGCATTACCCTCTAGCTAAAGGAGCCTGAAGTAGTTAATAATTACATAATAATGTTAACATTACAAGTGACTGTTTGGTATTATCCTAGTAATGTGGTTTAAGTTTTGTATTATATAATTATTGTATCTGGATCATTAGCCGATGTAGTAACTAGACTGTGTGTATGGCTGGTGTTCATCTTCATTATTACAATTTTAGTATCTGTGTGTTTGTGCAGAACTGTCACATCTCTCGTTTAACTTCGGTGCTAACAGGATGTTTGTAGGACAGTGTAGACTGATAAGGAGACATGTTTTTGTGGTCGTTTTTTTTTTAAAAGCACTTCTTCAAACAGTCACCCTGCACACATACACACTGTGGAAGATGAAAAGCAGCTTGTATGGAAAGTGTCAGATTTCTTTTGAAGTCAAAAACTCAACGATAATCCAGGATCCTCTGGTCACGGTACACGTTGCTGCTGCGTTGAATGATGGGTGTGTAATCTTTTCAGTGGAGACTTGACTGATTTTACTATCTCTCCCTCTCTCTCTCTCTCTTGCTGTTGTGACCAGGTCAAAGAAGAAATGCTGTTTGAAGCTCTGACAACACGGAAGACAGTTACTGTCGGAGAGAAGCTGATAGTTCCTTACAAACTTGCAGAGGTGAGACTGTTCTCCTGTATTGTTAAAGTCTGCGTTTGGTCGGCTGCTCTTTATCTTGAGTAGTCATTACCTATTTTATTTCCATCACTCCAATAAGAGTGTTAATATTTAAAAACAGGGTACACACACATGTTTTCTTGTGTCTTGTGTCAGGTAAGTTTCAGTAAGTTGTTGGCATACTGCCGCTCTGCTCCAAGTAGGTTCTGAGTTGTGCAGTGTGAGAGGTAGTAGTATACTCAAAACAGACAAAGTTGAATTTTGTTTTTCCTGTGGTTTACACTTTTTTCCTACAACACAATGCACAAAGGAAATGAAGGAGACGACTAGAAAATAAATTATAATACATTTAAGTATGTGATTTAAAGCACCACGTCTAAAAATCAGATGGCAGATACTAAGATCTGCTAGCTACCTCCTAATTGATTTAGCTTCTGCCGCCGATATTTTTCATTTACAGATAACAAATAGGCCATGGCGATCTCACAAGCTGGCTTTCCCTTGACTGAGAGTGCAGTAATACACAGCCAGAGTGAAGATACTGGCTTGTTTGTTTTGGGGTATTCAGTAGTTCGACTAAAGGCATTATACCAACTCAGTAACCGCCGGCCGTGTTTACAGGACAGCCTGCTCCAGCACCAGATCTCCCTCCTGCTCCCTCCTCCCTCTCTCCCTGCTGCTCTTTCAGCCTGCGGCCACATATGAACACACAGTCACACCGACACACACGTACAAACACACATGCACTGAGTCCTCCAGTGTGTTTAGAGGGAAGGGAAGGCATTTCAAGTCCCTATACAGTTTTCATTGGGAACCCCACTCTGAAAACAAACACACGTCACGGTCTGTAGATGAGAGCCATCTGAAAAGAAAAGCGGGAGCAACATGGATAGACCGTGTAACATGCCTGTCGGTTCGCATGAAGTACACATGCATGATTTTGTTAACTTGGAAACTTGTCATGAAGCCTAAATATTTCATACTGTCGTGCTGTCAAATGTTAAATATTATCGTGCACACATACAGTTTAATGATTTTCTTATTTTCCAGTACAAATTGCACACAGTATTCACCCAGGGAATCTGTCTCAGCAGTATTTTACCACAGACTCACCCAGAAGATGGTGGTGTGTTACACATTTCCATAATGGCCTGTTGGATATTTAGGAGCCATTTCATATGGATAAACAGTGATTGTTTTGGTAGCACACTGGGTGGTCTCTGTGTAAATATTGCTCCAACAGTCACAACAATCTCATTGCCTGTTAACTGAAATCATACACTTGAAAACCTCAAAGAAATCTGAGCGTTTCTGTAATGAGTTTTCTCCATTTGGTCAGAGTTATGAGGCTGTTTCCCTCTGCATGTTTTAAGTCCGACTTCCTCTAAATAATGAAAAGCTTATGGGTCATTTGGAACACAGTATGTATGGAGTTCAAACTAATATCTGTCCTGTCTCATGGAAGGCATATTTGGTCTGACGTTGCTAAAAATACCCCGGTTAATTATTTAGAAACAAAGGAATTTTAACTTTGAGTGGCCACTTTATGGTTTGTTTTGTTTCTGAAGACCACGGCTCACCTTTGCCACAGGAAGGTCAAATCTTTCCAGCGGATACGGGAATTAGAAAGGTTTTCTCGCTAATTCGACAAGGAAGCTTTTGTCTTTTTTAAGAACACAACATTTATCATCTAAAACAGGTCTAAAAAACTGGGCAACATAAAGTTTATGAATATGATTCAATCTAATGTGACCCTCATAGGCTTTATATTTAGTATATAAAGTCTGTGTTTAACCTATTAAAGCTAAGATTTCCATTAGGCCATGACTGAAGTTTTAACATTAGAGCTTGGCAGATGATGTTGTCTTTACCACACTCAATTGGATTGCCAGATCTCATGAGTCAACCTGATGAGTGTTAGGCAGGCTAATGACATTAGTAATGGCTTGCTGTGACACAGTGCAGTCTGCCAGCATGTCTGTAATGTTGCCCTCTGTGCCAGAGTTTCGGTAGAGGATATCAATGCTAAAGATGTGTTTGGGCCGTAGAGCTGTCTGGTTTCTCCTGTTAATATGATTTTTACCTTTTAGGATAACCCATTATAAGTTGTCCAGAGTGCACGAGGTCCTGATAGTGCTGTGAGGAAGTGATTTACACTCTCTTTTTTAATACATTTTTTCAAACTGGGCCAGTGTTGTGTGAGACCTTGACCTAAATATAAATCCCAATCTTTAAGTGCTTCCACTCACCGTGGTTTTTTTATGCTGGACCTGTACAAAAGTGCAGTGTTACTACAAGGCCAAGCTGTAATGTATAATACAGATGCTTGAGCGAGTGACACAGGAATGATGTCTGGAGTTGGATCAAGCATCAGTTGGCACCTAAAGTAATGAATGTCTCTTCAAACCTCTGGCGCAGCACAAATACGTGTCATAAAACTAAGGGAGTACTTTTGGGAATTACGCCTATTTGCTTTCTCGCAGAGAGTCTGATGAGAAGATTGATCTCAGGACTGTACAGTGAATATGAAGCAAGAGCTAGCAGCTGGTTAGCTTCTGAAAATGCATCTGCACAAGTAATACAGTCGACCTACCAGCAGCTTTAAAGCTCACTAATTAATATGTTGTATCTCATTTAACTCAGACAAAAACCAATGCAAGGGCAACAAGTCAGCTTCTCAGTTTTTGTGTGTTGCAAAGGGTAAAAACATTTAACACCGATAACACAGGAATTCAATTAGAATGGAAATTAGACACACAATTTTACAAACAAAAACAACATATACAGGAAAAGGACATTAAAAGATAGTGTCTTACCTACAATACTGTACATGCAAACAGTTATAGCCTTTCATACTTCTCCTTTCTTAATCCATCAAATATTGTGAACTGAGATATTACGCGTGGGAGTAACACTAAAGAGATTCTGTATGTGTCCTCTCCAGGCTGGTACAGTGCGAGACTCCATGGCGAAGTCCCTGTACAGTGCTCTGTTTGACTGGATTGTCTTCAGGATCAACCACGCTCTGCTCAACGTCAAGGACCTGGTGGAGACCACCAAGGTAGGACGACACAACGACTGTTACAATCAAAGTTAAATTGCCTACATTAGACACAAAATCAAGAGAGGAGTGAGTTGTCTCATCCATGGACAATCTCAAAATAATCAGTATCACTTAAATATATTCAACTATTACATATGAAATACCTGTTTGACATGAAATGCTGATACTGGAGAATTTTAGGAAACATCATAGATAAGCAACATTTTAGGATGAATAATTTAGGTTGTTTATGTTGTGTGTTTGTCTTCCTCAGATCTTGTCCATTGGAGTGCTGGACATTTTTGGTTTTGAGGATTATGAGAACAACAGCTTCGAACAATTCTGCATTAACTTCGCCAACGAACGTCTCCAACATTACTTCAACCAGCACATCTTCAAGCTTGAACAAGTAAGACATCCCTCAGTCTTCTTTCCTCAAAGGTTGACTGAAGGCTGAACTCCTGAGCTACTGTATTGCTGCAACTATTATTTTAACCTACTCTAGCTGTACCCACTTAAGTTCTTTGGCTATGACCATTTCCGAGGAAACCCCACACCCTTCTCGCTCCACACAGTGCACGTATATTTCAGTGACACTGAAAACAATGGAGGAATTCTTCACCACATTATGCAACAGGGTTAGAGAAGGTGACAGCTGTACGACTCACCCTCCCTGTGACCACCACCACTGAGGATGTATGTTCTCTTAAGTGAGCTGATTTACATCAAAGGGCTTTTTAAAGTCGTGATCTATAAGATTCGCCTGTAAGTCAAACATTGTGTTTACCTTGAGATTTACTGAATCAGTGGCCTGCCCTGACATGTATGACGGGCTTTCATGTAGTTCTTGAATTACACCAAGACACGAAGGACCGTGTCCTTAGTCGGTCCTGTTTTGTACAAAGGCAGTTTTTTCACAAACCTTGTCCTACCCCCATGTCATAAATATGTCAAGATGTATATTGTAGATGTATGTCATGAGGAGAGACTTTAAAGACTTCTTTGTTTTGGAGGTAAAGGTAAGTGACACTCGGAATTACTGTGCTGTAGATTAAGGACTTGTCAGATTTGTTCTTCATAAGATCCGATGGCTTATGCAAGTAAAACTTCATAAAGCAAACAAGTTGTCAAACATGCATGTTCTAATGCAACTTCTGCAGGGAACGAACAGTGCTTCTTTTTAAATCTATGAATGTACAATATGCAAACTGACTGTGAGACTCCAGCTTCCAGTATTTGTTGATACTTATTACAGTACTTCCTGTGCTACCGGTTGCTGCACTAACCCAGGTCATAATAGATCCAGCCTCGAGCAAAACAGTTGGCAACGCGTTCTTTTCCTCAGATGCAGACTGTTTTTTTTTCTCTGTGTTGCATCTTCTTCTTTGTGTTTGTGTTGCACAGTTAATACGTATTATTTTGGGAGGAGTTTGCAGATATGTTTTTTATTTTGATGCATGTTCATTTTCCTGGAGGTCCTATTGGATTTCCTTCATCCTCCAAATTGTGTGATGACGTCATCCACTCCCCATTACTTTTCATTTTATTAAAGAGCATCTTAACACCTTATTTGGCTTGAACACGACCATCACAAATTAATGGTCAGCTCCTCAGATGAGCCCAGCTCACAACTTACAACCAGCAACACATCAGTCTTCACCTAGTAGGAATTAAGAGTTGATGAGTCAAATATATGAACTTTTACTGTTCTATTTTTTCAGCATTTTACTAAATTAAACAAAATACTGTATGGTTGAGTATAGATTTTTTTAAAAACATGTTCAGATTTATTCCCTGCAGAGGTTGTGTTTACCTCTTTTACCTGGAAAATAACCAAAACATCAGTCTGCTTGAAAGTGGCCATTCTTTACTTTATAGTGGATCAGTCTAACCTTTTGAGTACATCTGCTTGTACATCTTGTATATCATAGGCTCTGTGTGTGCAGATGTATGGAGTGTGTTGTCAGAGGGTTGCAGCCCTGCAGTAAACAACCATTAAATCAGATAACTTCCTGATGGTTAAACCACTGCTTGCATGCAGGATACACACTCAGTTGTCCGGTCAGACTGTAGTCACTGCAAACTTCAAAAGTCACACTCATGATGTTGAGCTTTACTTTTGACACAACTTTGAATGAACCTCAGGCTTGTGATTATATACCAGCAACAATGTTTCAGTGTTCTCAGCTTTGCAGAGATTCAATATATTGACTTCCACAACAGCCAACAGTTACTCTGCATGTTAACAGGGCTGTAAAGTTATCAGTAAATGTGTTCTCATATTGATTTCAGTTTTTTTTTCCATGGATCAAACTTCCACTGCAGCTCAGTGATAGAGCAAAATCCACATTTTTGCTAAAATCTCAGCCTGTTCTGTTAACAAAATTAACACAGTTAAATAAAACTGTACCAAAGACTTGATCAGAGGAAACTGGAGAGCTTAGGAATTCATAATGGCCGAAGACCAGTAAAGAATTAGTTGTGTGTGGAAAAATTGATGTACACCGCTCAGGCAGCCTGAAAAGCCTCTGAAAATGATTCAACCAGGATAGTTTGACCAAGAGCTGGCATGCTTCATATTTCCGCTAAAGCCAGCTTCACACCCTTGTCTACAGTTACATACAGTATATTTCCATTCATCTGTCGACCAGTGAGTCATTCTGCTGGAGCAGTTAGGAGCTAAATGGTTTGCTTAAGGGCACTTTGGTGGTCATTTTAAAGGGAGGGGGGGTAGTACTTATTTTCTCCTTCTGCTTTATTTTCCGACGTTTTCAAACAAACTCTGCCAGTAATCACATTGTATGCAATGGAATAAGACAATATTAGCATGATCGTAATATATAGGACAATACAATATAATTATGAGTTAACTTGTTTGGCACTGATTGTAAGTGGAAGTTGTAATGGCAGACAGATGTACATAAAGCAGCAAAGAATGGGCAATTATTTATAATGTTAGTATTGATTTAAACTAATAAAACAACATAAACACAAACTGTAGAAAAAATATGAAAATCTGTAGTTGAAGTTGTGGAAAAGCTGATTCTGCATTCATTTTGAAGACATGATATGTTTTCTTTTCCTGTTAGTTGATTTAAAATACAGTAAGAGTGAATCACAGCAGTAAGAGGAAGATGATTTAAAGGCATGTTCAAGGGGGCGGATACAGTATCCTGTACAATGTAATGCAATCCAATACAACACCCCCATTAACCACAGCTTAGTGATTACCACAGAGTTGAGTCAGCACCCATCTGACACACAAATTGAATATTATAAGCTTCACAATTGTTTATTCCAGGGCTGCTGTATGGGGATGATATTGCACAGGTGTTCGTTATATAGTTTCCAGCCACAGTGAGTCTCAAGTCTTACTAAAAGACAGAAGAGTAAAACCTGTCTTTAGTAAGTCAGTCAGTCAGAGATAACTATCATGTTACTAGATGTTTATTTTGTGAAAGGAAGAAAGGACAGATGAAGGGAACAGACATTGAACAAAAAGACACTGATACAACATAAAGTAATTAAAAATTACCTTTGTTCTTATTTTGTTCTTTAACCGATATTTTTTCTAAGAGGAAGAAAACACATAAGACAGAGCACTGCGTGAGGAATAACATCTGTTTTGTCAATAAAAGGTACATCTTCAGTATTTCTAGGAAAAGAGATAGCACATTCCTTTTTATGCAATTGATAAACGAGATTATTATAAGCAATACAACACTCAGTTCAGTACACACACACACACACACACACACACACACACACACACACACACACACACACACACACACACACACACACACACACACACTTACACACACTTGCTCTGCTATGACATGACCAGTTGCTTTAGACGGCTAATGTAGGCAACCTTTGATGTTTATTGCTGTGTAATTAACATTACTGAGTTAGTTTGCTGACTTTATGGCTGTTGTCTTCTGGTGCTACAAGTGGCAGTAATCTGCACAGTTATCTCTCTTTGCTGCTTTAAATCTTTCCATAGAAGTTAAGGACAAAATCAGTTTTTTTTTGCCAACCGTTGTTTTTGTACAACTCAGGAACACACTCCCAGAAACAAATCTTTCTTCGTTTTATAATGTTCCAAAAGGATTTCGTTAAAACAGCTGTTGTTGAAGAATTTTTTAGTTAAAAACAGCTGAGATTGTTATCGATAGCAATCAAATGGAATCAGCTGGATTGTTTGTATTTAGAAAGTTCACCACAAACTGCAAATCACTGCAGAAGAAGAGGAATCAGAATGATTTGCTCAAGCTGTTGTAATCTTAATAAAAACATTTCTCTGCAAGAATGGCCAGCAGCAGACTCCATCCTTTGGTTTTACTTAACTTACTTTTATATTAATACTGGAGAGGATCATCTTCCCTTCTCGAATATTCTTCCCTGTGAACTTTATTGTCTTCAGCACAGATAGCGGAGGAAGCAACAGTAATTAAGTTGATTTTTTTTCAGCTCTAACTTTAGGGTAACAGGAGGAGAAGGAGATTTCAGTGATTTTTTATTAAACCTCCTCTGGATTAAGGTCTTTATTGGTTAAATCTCTTTCCCAGGAACACAGGAAAATAACATGTATGGGGAAGAGCACTGATAAATGCTCTGAATGCTTCTCTCATTATTGAACCTCCGAGAGGCCAGGCAGAATCTGAAGAGTGTTTTATTTTAAGAGAGACAACAGGAAAGCATGCGTGCAAACAACATTGTTGCTTTGATTGAAAAATTTAAAACAGCCCTACCCACGTTGGACGGGTTGCCTGTTGATGCCACGTTGATAATTGTATTTTTATGGGTGCCTAAAGATATTGTCACACTGGACGCCTTTAAGTCTGAAATTTTTCCACACGTTAAGACTTTTTTCAAACTGCTTAATGGCATGAAAGTACAATACTGATAGGGTTTAAAAAAAAAAAAAACATAGATGTGATGAAAAAAGACACATAATATTGTTTTTATACAGTAAGAGCTGCTGGCATATTTGCTTCAGTGCAACATGAGAAATGCAGCCAAAGAAGAGGTCTACAGTTCCTACATCAAATAACAATGGAAGCAAAGTATTGCTGAAGGTAGCACTGACACTGAGTTCTCTGTTTGCATTGTTTGTCCCGGCAGGAGGAATATAGGGCAGAGGGCATCAGCTGGCACAACATCGACTACATCGACAACACAGGCTGCATTAACCTGATCAGTAAGAAGCCCACAGCGCTGTTCCACCTACTGGATGAAGAGTGCAAGTGAGTCTTTCAGCCTGTCTGACTACCTGTTTGACGAGTTCATTTCTTTGGAAATTCATTTGAATTTTCCTGCGTGGTATCAACCATCAGGTGCTTCTGGCAGGTTACAGTAAAAAATCAAGCTTGTACCACTCTGTTTGTCTTTATACTATCAGCTGTTTAGACTCTTTCAGCTCACTGTTTTCATCTCATGGCACAGACCATGGGTTCTCTGTTTGGGGAAAAAAGATGAATATCAATCAACTAAATGCCGAGATAGAGTCAAACAGAGATAAAGGGATGATGCATACACGACACTCCAAATGCTAGCATTGCACCACTTTTGCAGGAGTTATGAACTGAGAATTATCTGCTAACACGTTAGTCTTATTAAGGTGACAGCATGACAGGAATGTGTCTGTTAGCTTGTTTGGAATTCATATTCCAGCTAGTGACAAATATTCTTGACCTGGCGCCTTTTCCTTTATAAATATGTTTTGTGGCTCCACACGGATAAATTGATCATAGAAAATTGGCTCGTTTGATAGTAAATGTCGCCAACCCCTGTTCTGGGGGAGTCATGCACACAGGCTACCTAGAGGAGGCGTTTAATAACAATAAGGTCATCCCAGAGAGATATGAGCACGTAGGGCAGTGCCAAACCTGTTACACCAGCGAGGACCTGACACTTCACGAATCGGACCGATTAGCTGAAGTGCAGATTCTGAAAAATGGTCTTAACACTCTAAATGAGAAGAGAAATGCTATTGTTGTGAAACTATTCGGCTAGCAACTCTTGGAAGAGGCAAATTGTAGTCTATACCCTACCTGAAATATGTTAATAACTGCACAGCTTCATGGGAAAACAAGATTGTGTTAAATGTCCATGTATTTCTGCTAATATAACCTGATATTACCACAATGTAAGATGAAGTTAAATTTAATTTAAAGTATATTCAATCTTTTCAGGTTCATGACTGTACTTTGACTATTTTTACCAACAATATTTCCTCCTTTATTCCCCCTCTTCTCTGAATCGAATTCCTCCCACATGGAAAAGCTGGAAAGCACAGAGTCTTTGCCTGTGTTGTTTTCATAGGTCAGGTTTCACCCCCAGCTCCAAAACCCCTGGTGTCTCATTCTTCCCCTCTTCTCTTCCTGTAAGCTGCTGATTTTCTGCAGAATTTCTGGCTCTTTATATTAAAGGACTAGAGGGAAATCTGAGCCGAGATCAGCTTTAAACGATAATCCTCAACCTCTGGCGTCAGAGGATGAAATGTCAAAAACTGGTTACAGATCAGATCATGTTAAACTTGCCACGTTTCCATAAGTACTATCGTAGTAACCGTTGCTGTGACTGGTGGAAAAAGCAATGTCTTAAATTAATTCTGTTCTTTTTGGATGATTAGATCAGGAATGGGTCGAACATTTTCAGTGTGATTTATGCTTCATTACTCACCATGGTTGAAAGCTTTTAACACGTGCATCAACGATTTGTTTTCTTATTAAAAACAGATGTAAAAAGCTATTGTTCTTCAAATCAAACTCGTCTGTCCTTTTTATTTCAGTTTCCCTCAAGCCACCAACCAGACTTTGTTGGACAAGTTCAAGCGGCAACACGAGGGGAACAGCTACATCGAGTTTCCTGCTGTTATGGAGCCCGCCTTCATTATCAGACACTATGCTGGAAAGGTCAAGTATGGTGTCAAGGTCAGTGTAATCTTCACTTAAACACCTCGTTATTGATTAGACAGAACGAATGTTCTCAGCCCATATTAGATTATCTAATCTTTTAACCAAATGGGAAAACTTAATGGGAACTGTAACAGAAATCATGTACTAAAGCCTGTTTAAAATGTTCTATTTTGTGGGACCTTTTGTAACATCAACATTACATTAACCAGTGGTTGTTGCATATAAATGGGTGATGCATATTTTTAAATAAATCACAAATTAAATCAGTGAATAAATAATAATAATAATCGATGTATTTGTATAACACTTCTAAAAATAATGTTTACAATGTGCGTTACATTTAGTAACACAAAAACAGCAATAAAGCAGTACAACTTATAATGCACCAACAGAGACGCTATTAGGAACAGATTAAGAACTTAAACGTAACTACGTAAAAGTGTATGCCAAAAAAAGATGTAATAACTCCTATGAATAAAAAGTATAATTTGTTGAAATACAAGATGCTACCAGTCCACACAAACCTTTTCTGTGGCGCGAGATAATCAGGCTTGTTAAGTCTCACATAACAACAGGGAGGTATTTTAATCCCTTTTTCTATATTACACAATCAAAACAAGATACGGCATCACAGGGAGCCTTTCACCTATTGCGCAGGTCAGAGCTTTAATTCAGAGTTACTGGCATGAACAACGGCTCTGTCTTGGCCCGTCACATGCAGCCAACCAGGAAAAATCCACCGCAGTGGAATCCTTCTTAGATTGGAAGAAATGGTCGCAAAATGAAATTGAGATTGAGTTTATATTTTTAGGTATACTTGACTCTTTTTCAGCTATTTTGGGAGTTTTCTTGTCAAACACATACATATCCAACTTGGTATGTGGTTTAACTACAATTAATTATTCCAAGACTAAACCAAAATATAAAGTGAAGTACAGAGCTTCTGTGGACTGGAACAAGTCCCCACCAGTATTAGAGAATCAACAAGTGATTACAGAAACAAATGCAGATGTCTCTAAATGTCTTATAATGTGAAATATATATTATTATAAATGGTTCTGATCATGAAATTATAGCCAATAAAATATTATTAATATTATACATTGATTTGCTTGTGTTATATAAAGACCAGCTGCTTTTGATTGTATTAATGTTTAGTTTGGGCATCTTTTACTGTGTGCAGCCCATGAAGATTAGCAACTGCGACAGCTGAAGCTAATGGGGAGCCAATAAATGATACTACTGAATACCATTATATATCTCTGTACCAAACACAGGATTTCAGGGAGAAGAACACAGACCACATGCGCCCGGACATTGTAGCTTTACTTAAGAGCAGCAAGAACGCATTCATCTGTGGGCTGATGGGCATCGACCCGGCAGCCACTTTCCGCTGGGCGGTACTCCGAGCCTACTTCAGGGCCCTGGTGGCTTTCAGAGAGGCCGGGAAGAGACACACGCAGAAGAAGACTGGTGAGCTCCCACACTAATGGAAACTCCACTAATGTGCACATTATAGCAGCGAGGCAGAGCACGTTTTGTAAAGCGAGACAGATGTAGGAGGTTGACGGGGAAATCTTATCTGAATTTAGAAAAAGATGTTATACAGTTTGTCATCAGTAAATGTTTATGGTCTTTTTATTGTAGCAGTGCAGCTACTGGTGTTTAATTTCTGCACGTTATTAATATTATTAATTCAGCGACTATATTAGAATGAATATTCAAAATGATGAACATTGGTGCTCTTTGTAGTTTGTGTGAAGCTCAGGTTATATCAAAACAGCACCAAAATGCACAAAGCATAAAAGGACATTGACTTTACTGAATGTCATGTGAGCATTACAGATACTTTTTAGCACTGCGAGAATAGCAGTAAACCAGCAAACTACTAAATCTATAGAGAGGAATGATGGTTATTTGATTATTCGCCTCCTCTCGCTGTCAGCAGACAAAAGGTGTGTGCCACCACTGAGACAGCTGAGATGAAGACAAACGTTCAGCCTGTTTGGCCAATAAATTGCATGAAATGAACATCTTTCCAGTTTCACTGCCACGAACAGTACTGTATGCTCACACGCCATGCAGTTACAATTTGGCCATCATCGGTCATTTTGGTTCGCTTTATCTCCGTCATATTTTGTGTTTCAGTAGTCACCATTGTGTAGTGTGTGTGTGCGTAGTGCTAGTAGTGCTGCCATGTAATTACAGTAGCTCTTGCTCTTTGTCTCTCTCAGCTTTGGCTTTCTACGAATGCCTTATTTTCCCTTAGATTTTGGCTCTAGCTGTACTTGATATGCTGTAGATATTAGCATCAGAGGTTCTTCCAGCACTGCCGTCGTATGAACCAGACTTGCGCTCTGCACCCTCCTGATCCTTCCTACACATTAGGTTATACATGTAGATGTTGTTATGTGAAAATAGATTTTGTATCCATTGCTTATCCTTAGATATCTTTTAGTAATCCTTCAGCCTCACCCAAGGGACACTAAAACGTGTCTTTTAAAACATTTAATTTCTGCAACATCCTGTTTTTGTTAAAAATGCTATGTCTAACTTCTTTTTTATGAATCATTATGGGCCAAGTTGTAAATTAAATTACCTTTAAATACCCTCACCTTGTCTAAGAGGGAGACGGATATCTACACACACTGTAGATATCTGCTGACTGTCAAATCAGGTTGCAGAAAAACTTCTAGAAGACATTGTATGGAAGTGCCTTTGGGGGGGGCAAACACTTACACACAGAACTACAATGACAAACATCCTACTGCTGCCACCAATGTGCAGTTTTGAATGTCAATTATCTTCTTTCCAGAAGTCTTGCACAGGTATCTCTCCAGTAGATGACTGCATCTCTTGATCTCTTCTTCTTCGCTGTCTAATCTGTCATTTCTTTCTCTCTCTCTTTTCCCCTTCTCTTTCCTTGTGTTTTTTTTTTTCCTTTGTTTTGCTTCTCCAAGGGCATGATGACGCTGCTCCCTGTGCAGTTTTGAAAAGTGTGGATAGTTTTAGCTTTCTGCAGCACCCTGTGCATCAGAGAAGCTTAGAGATCCTGCAGAGATGCAAAGAGGAGAAGTACAGTAAGGCTGCCAATACAATAATAACTCCTCCTACTTTCATGTTAGACCATGACTTGGGGAAACTGTAGGGACGAGGCTGACCAACATCACCTACACTTTACTGCACTGTACTGCAGCCAAAGTCAAGCCGAAAGAGATTAAATAAATCATAAGAATATCCAAACTTGCATTAAAGAGACGTAGTTTCTGCTTTGTGATTTGATTTAAAACTCTTATCTTCTATCATTAGACTAGATGCTTGTTGGTCTCCACTCCCTCTGTCTCCCTCTTCCCTCTTTCTTATGCACCTGCATCCACTTGTCTCGTCTTGCACATTGTTCACTAGCATGCTTCAGCCATCCTGTCACTAACACTGTGCTAGTAATACGCTAGAAGATAAATGCATGGTTGGGCTAACTTTGGTCTGGGGAGACGACACATTATCACTTTCTGTTATTTGCCAGTTCTAGCACACAGATACACTTTCATGTCCAGTTCTGTCTGTTGGGCAGTGATTATTATTGCTTGTGCACCACAGCACTCGTCTATAATCACTGTCACTAATTCCACATAGGCTGGTGATGGTGATAGAAGGCCGAGGGGGTATATGACACAGATGCGTATATTATTATCACTAACTTGCTCACAGGCAGCTTTACATGTGGTGCAGGACATACAGCCGACCTCACACACTTCTTTCAGCGGTCACTTTTTCCTCTACAAACATTTCATGACACCCGGATGTGTTTGTGTCTTTTTGTTTTGTGCCACCCTGCAGCTCCAGATGAGAGTGAAAATGTTGTACAAAGTGATGAAACTGAAAACGGTATACTGTTAAGTCACCTGATAAAATGCTCTCTCAGATTGCTTTTTAAGAAGGCTAACACACACTGTAGATATCTGCTGATTTCTTATCACCGTGATTGATGGCTGTAGGTTCAGAGGGAATGCTGGTGTATCAATTGGCTCATCGCTGCCAATCACATTGTAGTAATGTAACAAAGTTCTCTTTAGTTTGACCTAAATGGCTACTTCATTAGATAATTGATTATAGGACAAAATACATATATGTGTGTGTGTGTGTATATATATTGGTATATATTATTTATATTTAAATAACTAAGCCAACCTACAGTCCAGACTAAACTAAAACTAAACAACTCTTCAGTATCATCTTCCATAATTTGACACTAACAAGAGCAACTCACTATTAACCTCACAGATCTTTGTTTCAATATTAAATCATCTGCTGTAGATTATATTTCCAATGAAAAGGCACATAACACTCACTGCAATAACACTGGAGTGTCACATGGTGTCAGAAGTGTGTTTTTTTGCTTGGGAAGGGTTTGAAGGATGTGTTTGTATGTCTGTTTTGTGTGTATGTGGCTGTATGTGTGTGTATGTGGCTGTGTGTGTGTTGGTTTTCTTTCACATGATGCCAACCTGTCTGTTGGTGATCAGGTGTGACCAGAAAGAGTCCACGCACGCCCCTGTCAGACCTTCAGGGAAGCAACACCATCAATGAGAAATCACCACGGTAAGAGTCCATGCTGTCTCTAGATTTGTTGTATTATTGTGTTTCAGGCTCTTCATAAAGCTTCCTTGGTTTTAGGAAATAAATGCTATATTTTTGCTTCAAATCCTGGTCCGCCTAATGACTATATTCATAAAATACCACAGATTTGCAGGATCTGGAAACAAACAAAGACCTGTACACATGCCACATGACAGTTTAAACAGGTTTTAGTAGGTGCCTAATATTGTGTTGGCACACCTGACAGCACACACACCAGAAACTACAGACTCAAAAGTTACCATACATTTAAACCATTACTGCACTGAACAGAAATTGAACATTATAAGCTCCTTAAAGGTACTTACATACTTATTTACATTGTATTTGTTATTTTTCTCTTACTTTTACCTTTATTCTTTTGCCTTTTTGGATCATTTACCCTTCATGTTGCTTTTATTGAACAGAAAATTCAAGAAAAAAAGATGATACAAGACAACATTACAGTGTGTCAGTTTTTGAAGGATATTTTGATATATTTATATAATTTATTCAGTTGAGCAGTACTGGGTTGGATGAACCTCTTGTAAATCATTTGTTTGTTTGTTTGTTTTTGTTTTTTCTGGCAGTTTAAACCTTTTATTAGTGAGTCGACAGTAAAAAGAGGAAATGAGGGGAGAGGGAGATGGGGAATGATCTGCAACAAAGGTCCCCAGTCTGACTCAAGCTGGGGACATTGTAGTTTATTGTAGGAGTCCTCACCCCTAGGCCTCGAGGGCGTCTCATAAACTTAGTATTTGATCTTGCATACATATTACAAAGAGCCCTCAAATTAGTCATAGTCAACAAAACCCCATAATAGCTTTCCTGCAGATTCTCTAACATACTTCAAATAGTACACTTTTTAATCATCACACCGTGTTATTCACCAAAAAGAGTGATGACTGTGCTGTGACCCGAGCGTTGCTCTCATACCACTCCACTGAGACCCCGGTCCACCACCTCCTCTAATTAGCTGTGGACCGCGAGATTAGCAGCCCAAGACCACGACTGGTAGCACAGAGGCTCGTACAAGATGGCTTTTGTTACACAGAGGTTCAGTCTGGGGCCTTAATGTGATTTGCAACCTCTGCCCTCCCTCTGCCTCCTTCTGTCTCTTCCTCTCACTCATGCACACTCATCCTCTACATACTAGGAGAGCACTAAACCCTGTGCAGCTGCTTCCTCTGTGATGTAAAGTCAGAGTTATGCATTGGAGTGGAGTGCCCGGGGAGTGATAAATATTCAGTCCCTGCAGGGTGCTTGTTGGCTGGACAGAGCGGGAGACAGTGCAGTGCTTTATGGGACTCTCAGAGAGACTATGGGGATAAACAAACAGTACAAGAGGCATATTGTACTATCACCATATACTGAGATCGATGATCAACTGGGGAGAAATTCTCAATTTAGCTTTATATAGAAGGCCAGATGCAAAACTGAAGATTTGTGCTTATTCTTTAGTACAACACAGGTCCTAAGATTACTAAGGATCGAGTAAACCCAGAAATATATCTAAACTATGTACACTTAGATTTACACCTGCATGCTGGAGCTTTGTGGAGCTGTAATTTACGATATTGTAATGTAATCTAGGCAGGTAGTACAAATCATATTTATCTGTACTGCTCCTGTGGGATTGTGGTGATATACCCCAGACTGTGATCAGGACAGTGGACCTGTACTGGCCTGTGTTAGAGAAGCATCCTCTGGGTCTCTTCCTTCATGTCCTCTAATGGAGAGAAAAACTAATGGAAAGGCCAGCTACAGTCCTGTTGTTGCTTTTTCAATCAATCAATCAGACTTTATTTATATAGCAATTTCCATACAAGCAAAATTCAGCGCTTCCCACATTAAAACACCCCCATTTTGGGGATAATTAAAGGGCCACTACCTGAGGACCTGAGGCTTCCAGAGGGTTCATTGTGTAAAAGCCAATCTGATAAATAAGTAGTGCTGAGAACCAATATAAACAAATAAAAGGATTTATTACACTTTAATTGTTATGTAAATGAGGACCAACCCTCAGTGGGGTTTTTTTTAGTTTAAATAAACGTAATAATAATAAAGTTACCTAACATCTTTTTTTTATTATATAATATTAAATTCAAATAAGAATCCACTTTACAGGCCAAGTATGTTTAGTCCTTAAAGGAAGTTGATTTAACAAATCTACAACCGTGTGAGGCTGTGCTTTGAGCTAAATGCTAACATCGCCAATGCCAATGCTCATAATGCTAAAATACAGTTGTTGGCAGTAATAATTACCATGTTAACTATCTTTTTTTTTAGCAAGTAAGTAAGTAAGTAAAACTTTATTTATATAGCACCTTTTTGACACAGAGATCCAAAGTGCTTTAAGTCACCAGTCACCATGCTAATATTTTATAACTAGCATGAGGACACCTGAGGCTGATGACGTGTAATTTGTTTTACAGGTACACTATTTTGTCATAAACCACAGATTATAAATTGCACAACCTGAGGGCGGCGCTAGATTAAAAGTCATGGAATCACCAAATTCAGTAGGATGGAAACCATGAATGTCTGTACGAAATCTCACGACAATCCATCCCGGAGTTGTTGAGATATTTTAGCCTGGACCAAAGTGGTGGAACAACCAACATTTCTGTCCCCAGAGACACAACAGCTCCAAAAGCAAATGTACTCTTGGCACTTTTAAATGTGAAACAAATAGATTTGGTCCCTTCTTCTGCACAGACGATGAACACAATGAGCACACAGAGGGTTGGAGTTTATTTTTAATGCCAGTACTGAAGCTCCATTTATTTATCTGAAAATCTACTTTTTAAAAAGACATATTTATGTATAAAAGCGGTGAAAAATCTCTTTCAACCCAAACAGCTGGCCCTGCACCAAAAAAACTGCAGTACCAAAACCTCATCTGCTCTTTTGTATGTGTTGACTTTCATTTTCATTAGCTATTAAAATCCTCTCCACTCGCTCGTGTCCCACCTCGTTTTCTCTGTAGGAATGATTCAGCCCCCTGCTGATGAACACAGCATGAGCTACCAAACACATCCTGCTACTGTAGTCTATGTGTCATAGTGTGTGGCTTGATAACTCATCAGGAGAAATTCTTGTAAACCTACAAATGATACTGAAAACAATGGATCTGAGGAGCTGAAGAGCTTTTTTCTCTGATTTCTTGCTTTTTTATCTCAGTTGTCTTTTCTCCTCTCTTGTCGTCTCCTGTGGGCTAAAATAGTTCAGAATGGTTAATGGTTTTAACCATGACCTGACCGCCTGTGTTTTTGTTTTTGTTCTGGGCAGGTGGTTAGGTTTCACCTTGAGGCCTGAGGTTTAAACCCCTTGAGGCTGCAGTGAACTGTGTCAAGTTCTGTGTGAGATGAATTCCTCTCTCTCCTATGGGAAGAAATATTGAAACTACTGCCCCTGCTGGTGACATTCTTTAGGGGAAAAATGCAAAAAACAAGACACTGTTTGATGTCATTTTAAATTATACATAGGTTGCACTTCTCTAAAGCTAAGCACCATCAAATCCAACATATTCACTAATATGTGAGAAGCCACCCTCCCACAGCTGGTGGTATTTGATGTTATGTCTGAGACCCTTCAAACACGTATCCGAGGAAGTTCACAAACTCAACAGATCTTTGATCATTACTGTCTCATTAATGTGGGACAATGTCTGTTAACCATGTGGAAAAGTAAAGAGACACCGTGGGGAACATAACAGTACATGCAATAAAATATATTATATCCAATACTTACAAAAACTGAAGATACAATATGTATCGTTTATGAAGCATCATCACCCACCGTGTATATTTCAATATGTTTTAATTAGCTTTATTTTTATGTGATTGCAGCCCCAAGCTTGACATAAAAAAGCTGGTTTTACTGTTTCACTGTTACAAGTGAACTTATATTTTTGTTTTTCCAAGACAGCCTGGACTGATTATCCATTGGGACTATGTTGTGGTTTAAGATATTGTCATCAAAATGTTGCGATTTGTCAAACACGTTGTATCAATGTAAAAAGAGGTCGGGTTTTTTGGTCAGGGAGGGCGGGGGGGTTGGTAATCATGCTCAGATGGCAGATTGCATATAAATTCCACAGTGTGTAATCTTAAGCTCTTTCATAAGAAGATTGGAAATATAAATACAAAATAAATTCCTTGAGGACGAATAACTATTGACATGAATTACATAAATGCATCCCAAACTATATCTTAATAATAATTAGATCTCACTGCTTCAGAAGTGTGTTGCAGTGTAAAACATTTTGTATACAGTTTGGATTTTCATAAATTAATTGCTTAATTGGTCTGTGTGCGTTTTGCCGAAGGGGTTCTCCGGGCCTCGGCTGGAACGGGCGTGTGGGTCGACAGAGCCGCCTGTCATCCGGCAGCTCCACCACAGAAGAAGACGGCATCTTTTTCAACTCTGCCAGCAGCAAACTCCTTGAGAGAGCCCACGACATCCTCATGTCAGTAACCAGACACATCTGCAGTCACCATGAAGCTTTAAACTCCCCTTTAACACTGTGCTTTTCTAATTAAGACACTTTGTAATGGTTTTCTTTCTGATTGTAAAATGCAAAACTATTTTCAGCATTAATTCTACTGTTATTTGTTGTTTTGGTCAGCAGTGTAGCCTAGAGACATTCTTAAATATCATCTGACATAGTTCAAACTCAGTTGTCAGCAAACATCTGCCCTGCTGAATTTTCCTCAGTGATCACTACATTCCTACTAACTTCAAGGGTGCTGTTCTGTAGCTGACCCCGACCTCTGACCTCCCTATGGAGGGGAACAAGTGAAAAGAGAATTTCCCCGTGGGGATAAATAAAGTTTTTACTTTATTGACAGGGATATGACCCACTTGGGAAGAATTTCTGTAATTAATTCAATGCTTTTACTTGACAGTTAAACCTGACAGTTGACCTTTTACCTGACAGTTAAAACAAAGTTCTCACCTGTTGATTTAAAGAAGAAAAAGTGGGATTTTACTGCATAAAACAGATTATGACTGCTGGATTAACCTTTCTGTTTTTGTTTATTCTAAACAGGAGGAACAAAAACTACAAATCTAAACCAGTTCTTCCGAAGGTACGGTACAAGGATATCTTAACAAAAGGCATAATGTGGTGTTATATTATCAACACTATCAACTGACTGTGACTTTGCGCCTGCAGCATTTACTGAATGTCAAGTCACTGAAGTACCTCAGCAACCTGACGCTTCACGACCGCATCACCAAGTCCTTGCTTCACCTCCACAAGAAGAAGAAACCACCCAGTATCAGCGCACAGTTCCAGGTCAGACACACACACACACACACACACACACACACACACACACACACACACACACACACACACACACACACACAGAGAGAGAGAGAGATAGCCAGTAGCTGCAGAGCTCAATAATTTGCCATTCAGTGCTCTCAATATAAAAATAACATGATTAGCCTGAGCTGGACTGAGGAATCTCCCTCCAGCTGTGAATATGATAAAAACAAGGCGTGTCCTTTACAAGTGAATGTTGGTGGAAATATCCCTCCATCTCTCTGCCTTCCCAGAACCTTCACCCTCCACTGTCTTCACCCTGTATTTGTCCATAATGTGTGTGAAGTCTATTACGTAGTTCATACACCCACCCAAAAAGTCTTACAAAGTATGACATCATGTCTGGGAATTTTGTCAAAAATATTTTTGATTTGGTGAGAAAGTGGAAAGATTGTTGTTTCTCTGTTAATGACACACCCTCACTATGTTCACTTTGTGGGAGATGAGACCATGAAAACATCCCATTGCAGTGATTCTGTGGAACTGAAATTCACCTAGAACCAAAAATTAGCTTATTTCTACTATTTAAACTGCTGAAAACAAAGAGAAAATGAGATAAGAAATGTGCTCTCTCTTTTTTTTTTTTTTTTTTTTTTTTTTCCTTCCAAACGTGAGACAAATGAGGCAACTACCGGTAACATTCGGACTAATCTGGTTATCTTTAGGCTCTCATTGGCAGCCGGTTACATGCAGAGCTAAAAAAAAACCAACGTTCACCAAAAAACTGCTATTTCTTCCCCAATTTCTTTGAAAGTGAACTCTGTGCTCCGGCTGTTGGAGGTAGAGATGAGTGCTGAGGCCCCTCTGGCAGGCAGCCCTGGCCCCAGTGTGTGGATGACTTCACTTCCCACATCCTGTGCTGCGCTGATTGCTTTAATCTCCCATGGAGGGGGAGGAGACTGAATTCTTCTTGCCACTGAACTATCACACACACATGCTGACACACATGTGCATATGTTTACACACACACACACAAGTTGCACATGGAAATGCTACGCACATGGTTTCTTCTTCATTTTTTTTTTTTTTTTTTTTAGATATATTGCTAGTGTGTATGATCCCACGCAGTGACTTTAATCTTTCAGTGAAGCGTTTTACTTACAGACGGACCAACAGTTATTCCCGGCTGACAGAACCACCTGACTTTGACTGCCGCCTGTCAAACAACTGCAGAGCAACACAAGCAGCGTGTTTCTATGTGTCTCATACATTCTGGCTTTGTGTTAAATTTGTCTTCTCCTTTTCATGTCTCGTTCTGTAGGCCTCTCTCAATAAGCTAATGGAGACTCTGGGTCAGTCTGAGCCTTATTTTGTCAAGTGCATCCGTTCCAATGCTGAGAAGGTACAGTGTGCTCGCTCCAGACTGTGGTCACTTTTGACTGTTTTGGTTTAGTTTTCAAAGCATTTTTTATTTCCTTTGAAGTTTAAACTTTTCTGAACCTGTTTATCATTTCCCTCTCTGTCGCTTCTCCTTTTTTCTGTCATTCTCCCCTCTCCTCCTCCATTATCCTTTTTCCCTCCTCTGGCTTTCTCTTTCTCAGCTGCCCTTAAGGTTTAATGATAACCTGGTGCTGAGGCAGCTGCGTTACACAGGTATGCTGGAGACTGTGCGCATCCGGCAGTCGGGCTACAACATCAAGTACAGCTTCAAGGTAGCACGCACACATTTACACCCTGCAGATACTTTAAAGGTCTTAATCCAGAACTGTCATTTATGTCCTTTAATGTTTAATATCCTAAAGAACAAAAGAAGAACCAGACAACTGGAGATAAACAAATACAGGCAGCACACATTTAAAATTTATTTTGCAAGGCTGTAACTTGTAATGGAGTATTTTAAACTAGTGCTGCACAATATGAAAAAAGCATCATATAGTGATTATTTTGATAAAGATTGTGATTGCGATATGATTCACGATTAGAAAAAAACAATTTAAATCATGATGATGTGACTTTTGTTGGGGTCTTTGCCAAACAAATATGTTTCCTTAAATCTAGAGCACAAGATTTGTAGACTAGGGCATCTCTGCAGAACAACACTACTTCATTATAGGGCTGTTTTGTCACACATTTTAACACAGCAGCTTCTGCAATTTGTATATTGCGATTTTGATAATATTGCGATTAATTGTGAAGCCCTATTTTAAACATAGTACAAGGTGTTTTTAACTGGTTATAAAACAGTTTCAGTTTAATATTGATGCCTCTGTATGACCTACATAAACAAACAAACCCATCAGCGATTATTTGTTCTATTTATTCTTAATGCCTCCCACTGGGTCGGATTCCCCTAGAAGTCCACAGGGGCCGCCAGATTGAACACAAAATGAAAGTTCCTTGTAGGGATTTAAATACTTCACCACTGGTGGTAGTCCTTACATAATGAATTATGTAAAATTCTGAAAAGAGTGGTACAAAATCACAGCAGCAGATTGAAATTTAATTGGAGTCAATCTCCAAAAATACTGGATTCCCATAATGAAACTAATAGAATATTTTTGTTAGAACCCCTCCATGCCTGGTAAATGCCCGTTTCTCGTTTCCTGAGAGTTATAGCAGAACCACTTATCCAGGAAGCAAACACTTGATAGCAGATCACATTAACATGTTCCCTCTGGGCAGACGTGTGCAGGCCAGAACACTGATGCACAATCGATCTCACTACTTACATCCCGAAACTTAAACGACACTCAAGTTTCCGAGAGTGTAGGTGCCAGTGATCGCTGATGCTGTTTGAGTCAGGATTCGATGTATTGTGTCAAGAGAGAATTATGGGGGAGTAGAGGTGGCAGCCATCTTTAACCACACTGGCTCTCACAGGAATGACGTCAACCCTGTGAGAAATACTGTATGACTAATAAAACAGATTGTCTTTAAAGCTGATTGGAAGTGAGTCTTTGGACAGAAAATGTTTGGGAGTGGCTCACTCCTACTCCAGGTTTTCTTTTAACTTTAGTTTCCATTTTGTGGTTTTAAATGTTCATTCGCCAGTCATGTCATGTCAAGGTTTTAGCCAAAGATTAAGTCACCCTGCGAGTCACTTATTTTCCCATGTAACCATAATGGTATCTACTGTAACCATGCAGATAGTTAAGGTTTTATTTGCTGTGCTCCTGAGATCTTCACTGCTACTACTCAGAGTCATTTTACATTTTAAAAAATTGCAGTGCTGGAAAGAAAATAAGCAATGCACTGCCTTTATGTACAATTTTGAGGTGCTTGTACATTACTTAAGTGTCCATGTTATGCTTTTTTATAGTTCCACTCTGCTACATTTTAAGCAGAGTATTTTTACATGGCTGTACTGGTACTTTTACTGAGTACTTCTTGCACCACTGGGAAGTAGTTCCCATCAACATTTAAAAACTAATAAACTCAAATAAATAAGTAAAGATTACACTATATATTTAGTTATTTATATAGACTGACCTTTTAATTCAAAATCTAGTGAGTGAACTACGAGTGAGTATTCTGATGATCTCACTCAGGTGATTTTAGCATCAGACATCGTCATTTAAAAGAAATTCCTCCAAACATATTTAGTGCTGCGGTCAGCACTAATGAGAAATATCTTGGGCATGGTATCACTTTGGAGGACTCTGCTGTTTCCCGACTCTTCAGAACAGAGCCTCTCCATTGTCCTCGGGTCTCTGAAACACTCCCCATGCTTGTAATTGTATAAACACAGCATCTGTTTCTCTATCCACCCCCTACAGCCCATGGTGCAGAGTGTATTGAATTCAGACAATGGGCCTCAGTTTGAAGAGTGGGAGTTCAGCATATTTATGCCATGATGTTTGAACCCCTGCAAATATGGACAGCATTGACTTTTACCTGAAACCACATGTGCTTTGACAGCTTGTTTCTGCTCAAGAGATGCTACAGGAGGCTGCTTCAGTTTCTGCTGCTGGTCAAGAGTTATATTTCAAATTCAGGGCCGCTGTGTGTACATCCAAAACCAGTTAATCCTGTGCTGAAATCATTGCTGGCTTTAGCAGAAAGTAAACCTTTTGTTAGACACATTATTGGACAGAAATCCGGTGCACATGACACAAATATAAAATCCAGAACAGATACTGTAGAGTAGTAAACTTATTTCTTATTAACACCTTCCTTGTTCTCTTCATAGGATTTTGTCCATCACTTCTCTGTGCTGCTCCCAGAGGGCACCAGTGCCACCAGAGAGGGCATCCAGCAGTGTCTGGACCAGCTAGACCTAGAACCAGATGGGTACCAAGTGGGAAAGACGATGGTATTTACCCTGCCTTGTTCTTTATTATCTGCAGTTCTTTTGAACAATACAAATCTGTGTGAATACTAAAATGGTTTGTTTTTTTAATACGTTGTCATTACAAATGAATGTTACATTGTTGAGCTCAGAAGTTAAGCTTAAAGTTTATTGATGGACCCAAATTTTTCATCAATACCAATAACTGTTAAGTGTGTATTAACTGATTATTCTCAGAATATTCAGTGTGATCTAGTATTGCAAGCCATAAAAAACATGATGTCTGCTTTTGAATATTTTGCATATTCACTAAGTTTGATGTAACCTCAGTAAAGTTTTGGAACAAGCTGAAAATATAAGACATATGGTGTAGAAAGAATTTAGCTACTTCAGCAGGCATTTAAGAGGAATATCAGGATTCAATAAGTTAAATAAAGTCAGTGTATAATCCAGATGTAAAATTAAAAGTTGGGGCAAAACGGTTATTTAGTGATATTGCCGAAAAGAAAGTGTTATGGCTCATTATACTGTATGTTATTATATGTTTTATGTTATATTATCTGTTGCTGCATGTTTAGGAATCTGGGAAATGTCGGTTCAAGCTTCAAAATGTATTTACTCAAAATAATGTGGGGTTTTTTAAACTGCTCAAACTCAGTTTATTAAACAGTTGAATTACACAAACTATAAATAGAGTCACAGACTAGGGAAAGGATAGTGTTGGGGATAACCTCATATTACCTGAAAGCATCCTCCCTCTGAAAAGAAGGATGTAATGAAGACAGTGCCCCATATTTGGTGCGGTCCACAGTATAAATGAGGCATGATGGAGGGGTCCATGCCTTTGGGATGCTGTCTATATAATTAGAGGATCATACCTGACATACTTGTGACCGTGTATCCGGCCAGGGATTTGTGTGTGTGTGTGTGTATCTCTTCGTGCATGGCCAGACAGCCCCATACTTCATTAAGTATGTGTGTCACCCTGTGCTGACTCTATCGTGGTCCCTCCCCTCAGGTGTTTTTGCGGGAGGCTGAGCGCCAGCGTCTGCAGGCCTTACTCCACAGGGAAGTTCTCAGACGTATCGTCACACTGCAGCGGCGATTCAGAGCCCGGCTGGAAAGGAAGCAGTTTGTCAGGATGAGAGAAGCAGCGATCTGCATCCAGGTACAGTACAGAGCTTTTCATCATTGCTACTCTTATTTCATCTACTGCATTTTTTCTCTTTTCTTTCTGTGTGATTTAAACCACTTTTTATTGGTTTTGGTTTGAAAGATGCCCCTAAGAGTTGTTTTTACAGCAGAAAACAACTTCAATATTGTTGCTGATCGACTTTGAGTAGATCGTATTGTGATATTATAATTTCATATTACAATTTTACTAAATGTTTTTCTACAAATTAATGAATCCAATCAAGTTTTATTGAAAAATCAACAACAAAATGAGTAATTCTGTCTGTAGTTTTTGTGGGGTGTAAGGTTTATATAATTTGAGTTCATTGCATCAATCATCATGTGTTATACAGTATATCATTTTACATTTACAATCAGAATTATTGACTTCCTACATGATGCCCAGTCCGAGAACATTGCAGTGCGTTGAATTAGAAATGTATGTTAGATTGAAAGGTGTCCGTTGATATCAATGATGTTTTATCATTTATCTTGAGGTCCTTAACTGGAAATTAGCTTACATTCAATTTGAAATCTGTGGAGTCAGTGAACTTGAAAATAGGTGATTAAAAGAAAAAAAAAAACATCATAATATCATGAAACTAATACATCATTATCATCATCATCTCCTCACAGAAATGGTGGCGTTCATACCGGTCCATAGAAGAGGAGGAGGAGGAGAATTATGACCCTGCTGTCCAGGAGGGGGCAGCTTTGTGTGTGCAGAAACACTGGCGAGGTTTCAGGGAGCGTCAGAAGTTCAGGCTGTGGAGGGAGGCTGCTCTGGTGCTGCAGAGGGCATGGAGGTTGTGGCTCTACCGGCGCTGCACATCAGCTCTGGTTATTCAGACAGCCTGGCGCTGTCATCAAGCCAGAGAAGCCTACTTGCATCTGTATAGTGCTGTGGTACAACTGCAGGCAATGGGCAGAGGCTACCTCGCCAGGCAGAGGTAAGCCATCCTGTAAAACAAATATTATCTTCTCCTGAGCACCAGTTGTGTTTTTTATTAATGCTATGGATAAGTTGACTTAAACCAAAGCAAACATTTTACAATATTTCTAAAGGCTCAAAATAACTTCTATGGGGAGGTAACTGCTTGATTTTTTTCTCAAGCTGGTTAAAAACCAGATTAATCTTTGCACACAGCTCCTGCAGTGTATTTGGCCATTGTTCAGTCTGCTTATAGACCAGTCTTGGTAAGAGCAAGCCATTACGCAAGCAATCCAACCCAAAGCAGCTCTACAATCAGCTGAGCTGCTGAGAGCAAGAATTAAATCAGACTCTTTTGGTCTGGTGAATACTTTAGGTTGTGATCATTTGTGATGAATAATTTGTTTAAAAAAATGTCTTTTAAATATCTTGAAAATAGGAGTAGGAAGTAGGTTGTCATCAGCTTAAGTTGTAACCAATGCCTTCTGGATTGACAGCTTCAAACAACTGAGAGAACAGAGACTGAAGGAGAAGGAGCAGCAGGAGAAGCTGCTTCAGCTACAGAATGGCCAGGTGAGTCTCTTGCCAGAAGAAGAGGAGGAGCCGCCTGAGAGAATCATGGGGTTGGACCTCAGCACATGGGAGGATCGTTCCTACGAACAACGAGAAAAGAGCCTCCAAATCCTCAGCAGCCACGAGGTAGCAGTTAAGGAGGAAGGAGAACATGTTAGAACAAAAGAGAGCCCGTCTAAAGTGCAAACAGAGGCACTGGCCTCATTCCCGACATCCACTGTGGTGGTGCGAGAGAGGTCCAGAACTGTAGATGAGCCCAGCCAGAAAACCACCCGGGCCAAGAGGGAGAGCCGGAGGATGAGAGAGCTGGAGCAGGCTAAGTTCAGCCTGGAGCTCCTCAAGGTCCGGGCAACCAGCGGTGGAGCTTCGTCTCCATCTGAGGAACGCCGCTGGTCTGTTGAGCTGGTGCCCCCTTCAACCCCACCTCTTCGTTCGCCCCAGGGCACTCCTGACAGCCAGAGCTCCAAAGGCAGCTTTGAGCATCTCAGCATGGATGATGAGCCACCCAAGGCTACAGAAGAAGTGACAGACAGTGAGGACCTCTGCTCCTCTCCTCCACCAGTAGCTCCAGTACCTGAGGAGGTTGTTTCAGCAAGCCCAAAGCCAGTTGAACCACATAGGACAGGGGTTTCTGATGCTGTTGCCCACCCAGGCAGCCAGGACGAGACTAAAATGGATCTTGCAGCCCCCTCTGCCCCCACACATCCGCCCAAAATCGAAAACTACCTCCCTACTTTTTACGTCCCTGCTAGTGAGGGCAGCACAGTAATCTCCCGTCGTCCTGCAGAAGAGCCACAGCAAAACACAGCAGCGGCCATCTCTACAACCACCACCACGGTTACCAAGCCCCTCAAAGAAAGGCGCGAGTCAGCACGTCGACCAGTGGTGGTGGTCATCAGTATGCAGAAAGAAACGCCACTAAGCGAAGAGCTGAGTGATATTGTCCGTCCCCCTGTAGAGGTTCGGGACTCTGCAGCCCAGACAGGGGAGTTGACGCCATTGCAACAGAAACCAGACCCATGTCTTGTGCCTCAAGGTCCCGTCCCCATTTCTACCTCTGTCCCTCAGGCTGACCCGGGTATCATAGAGAAGCTGGTGCGACTGAACGAGGAGAAAGAGGAGAGGCAGCGTAATCAGCAGCAGCAGAATGAAAAAGAGATGATGGAGCAGATCAGACAACAGAAAGAAGCACTGGAGCAGCAGCGTCTTTTCTTCGCTCAATATGAGAGAGACATGTTTGAGAAACAAAGAGGAGAAGCTCTGCACAGGATACAGCAGAGTCGGAAGAGTGGGCAAGATGTTGGTGGAACTGCAACCTCCGGCAAGCCCCTTAGACCCAGCTCCCTGCTGGTTGAGAGGACAGCGAAGCTAGCTCCTCACGCCAGGACGCGGTCAGATTCTACCGACCCATCAATGCACTCTGCCCCAGGTGAAGACATCCTGGAACGTGCCCCTCACCCAAAGCTGCCTCCTCCACCTGCCTCTGCTCCCAGAGAAAGACACAGGCCTGTTCCTGAGGGCTGGGCACCCAAACTCACGCTGGAGTCCAAGGATGGGGGAGGAACCAGAGTGAGAACAGCTACCAAGAAACCACCGAGTAATCAAGGCACCTCAGTTAGTATGACGGATAAGCAAGGCAAAATCTTCTTCTCTCCGAAGGACAAAGTGACGTTTACAAAGTGAGTAATGAATTAATTCACCTTTTTTTTGGCTTGTGTTTGTTTTTTTGTTTAGTTTTTTTATTTGACATGTAATACAAATCCTTGTAGGAATAATAACTATGCAACAGAAACAAGCAAGACTGTGATAACCATAAACAAACACATAGATAATTAATAAATAAAAGTAAAAAAGAAGTTTACATTCAAGGTGTCAATGGATTACATTTCTATATATGAATCGTGTTAAATTGTTTACAAAATAAACCCACAATCTAGAGTACTAAGTAAAGAATTTGAACATTTCCTGACTTTGGTGCCCCCCAGTGGCAGTATCACAAAGGAACTGTTGCAGACGCTGAGTCACAATATGAATTTGATGCAGGGACACTGAAATGAATGAGCACATAGATGGCAAAAATGTATTATCGGGACTGGCTCAGTTTATACCATCAGACTAATTTGAAAGCTGCTACAACCACGGCAACATTATTCACATGCTCAAGTCAAATGTTCAAATCACAGTTTTTCTCTGGGGGCTTTACAATCTATACAACACCCTCCATCCTTAGAGCCATGATTCGGTTAAGAAAAAACTTCATGAAGACATCCTTTTCCCACGACAGACAGACCTGCGATAGATTGAGCGTACAGAACAAACAAAACCACGCTATATGCACAGTTTCTTGCACAATTTCTGATACATGAAGATTATTAACCATATGTGAAGAATGTGGCTTCATTGACACTCTTGTTCTTGGTTTCCACTTATTAAAATCTTTATTTGGACTTCAAATGTGTTTTTTGTTATCAGGTTTGACGGTGATGTTGTCACTAAAGAAACACCTGTAGCCATTCCCAGAGAGGGACCCACACCAGCCTCCAAGCCTTCAAAAGGGACAAAAGTACGGGATGTAAGTATCTCTCCTTTTTTCTTTTCAGAAAACAGACATATAGCATGTGTTTCGCAGGAGTGCATTTTTGTGTTGTGAATGAATTAATGAATCTTGGCAGGATATCTCCCACTCTTACACTAAGAACGACACAGCTGACCAACTTGAAGAACAAAATACACTGAAGTTCGTCTACAGGTCTTTTAAAGGCACCTTTTAAACATGCTGTTATCACTTCTGGTAAACTTCAGGTTGGCAGAGCGGGCCAAAAAAAGAAAGCCAGAATGGCACGGACCCGCTCCGACTTCCTCACCCGCGCCCCCGTCCTCTCTGTTGGGGGTGATTCAGACGAAGATGACTATGATGGCGACAGCCCCGTCAGCCCCGTCAGCCCCGTCAGCCCCCGTCATTACACTCTACCCCTCTCCAAACAGAGCTCCACGGAGACAGGCTTACGAGAGTCCTGTTTCAGTGACTCAGACATGGTAAAAGGCGTCATCCAAGCCAACAGTGGCTCTCTCTACGCTCTTAAAGCGTGGCTTCTCTTTGACACTTTCTAACCCCCTCAGCAGAGAGAGCATAGACCTGCATCTCACGTCTGACTCAACCTGAGCTTCAACAAACTTGTTTCTAAAAATGTACAACAACTTTCGATAAGGGTTGAAAACATTTCAAATACACTTTAAAATACCTGCTAAAATGTGGAATCAAACATAAACACTATCCTTCTAACAGAAGAACAAATATACAGTGATTTTATGTATGATTCAGTTATTCACGTCAAAGTTTAAAGACATGAATTCAGGGCTGTCAAACAACCATAAATCCAATTAATTTGCTTTGACAACCCCTCCAGAAATCATTATCAACAGTGATTGTTAATTTGACTCATCATGATAAATGCAGGACGAGTTTTGAAATGTGTTTTCCCTTCAAACATTTAACATAGTTGCTTTTCTAACATAAGTTGGCTTCTGTTTCTCTCACAGCTGTAACAGGGACTTTTCTCCTTGATTTATTCTTCCTGTTAAATTAACAATATTTGCATGTCACTTGGTTTTATTTCCTCTCTCAGCACGCAGCACTAGACACCAGTCAAACCTTGGGAATCCTTGAAAAGGGATGAAGTCCCTCTTGTCTTTCTTCATCACTTAACAAACTCTTACTGTCTTTTAATGGTTCTTTTTCCTGGGAGAACTCATTTGTTCCTTGTTTAAGAATGTATTTTCTTTTTTTAAGTATTATTTGTTGTGTTATTGATTTGTAGTATCATGATTACTATTAATAGCATTCACTCTTGTAAATGTACGCTACAGCTGGTGCTGCTCTAGTGATGTGATGCTGCCATCTACTGGCTTCACATGGAAATGCCTAGTTGAGAGGCTTTTCTTCAGTTTTGTTATGTCTTTAACATGTTATCCAACCTGATGTTGTTTCAGCCTGCAAGCTCTGAGGAGCAAAAGAAGATGCACAAGGCCATGTCATCAGGAGATTTGGTCAAAGTGGACTCACTGCGTAAGAACTCCCAAGATGGAAGGTTTGTTTTAACTAAACATTTTTTCTAGATGTCTTGGCCTGAATATAAATTGTGGACAGTTTTGTCACTTCTAAGTTAAAGCTTTTTACATTTTGATCATATTTTCCATCCGTAATTAAACAACGTTTATCAATTTTGTTTAAATTTGAAGCAGGGTTCGTGGTAAGATGCGATTCTGGGGAAAGACCAAATATGGAGACAAGAAGACTTCCAGAGAAAAGCTGATCTGTGGGGGGGATTCCCTGGACGGTGACTATGGAGACACTGGGCCATTACTGGGAGATAGTGCGTAATCCTGGCTGACTTTCTTTGTATACCTTTGAATGCAACCGAAGTTGATTTGACTCAGCATCATTCCCACTGAAGTGTCACTGACTGGAGCTCACTTCCTCACAGCAGGTCAGGAAAACATGTCGCCCCCCTGCAGTCCTGATCTGATGTTGGATCATGGGTTCAGAGACTTGAAGGAGAACAAGGAGCCGTCTCCCAAGGTGAAGCGAAGGCGCAGTGTTAAGATCAGCAGCGTGGCTCTTGAACCGGCTCAGTGGCAGAACGACGCCCTGCAGATCCTCACCTGCACCAACGACTACAGGAGCATGAACGACTTCCTCATGAAGAAGGTACCGCTAAACGTCTCTCTTATTCTCTTGATATGAGTAAAGATGATTATAAGGCTTACGGGTGTACTTCAACATCAAGAATTCCTCACAAGGAAATGTAACTCCAGATGCAGATTTGAACTTGACTGTTGAGTTTTCACTTATCTCTTTAGAGCTGTAGGTAGTCCATATTCATGCTTTGATGATTGTGGTGTCCTATTTTAGATCAGCGACTTGGACACGGAGGACAGTAAGAAGGACACCATGGTGGACGTTGTGTTTAAAAAGGCGTTGAAGGAATTCCGTCTGAACATCTTCAACTCTTACTCCACAGCGCTTGCGGTAAGTGCTGTCAACACGATCATTTAAGATCAAACAATATTCTTTAAAATTATAGCCACCATGTATAAATGTCACTCAAGGAAAGTGATTAGAAGTGCAAAATTGTATTCAAATCACAGAATGTTTTACATGGTAGCAGATAAGGCAGCATTGTCAATAGTTAGACTATATCTTTTAAACTACCTGGACTCTGTTGTCTTCATCCCCAGATGGATGATGGGAAGAGTATTCGCTACAAAGACCTCTACGCTCTGTTTGAGCACATCCTGGAGAAGACCATGCGGCAGGAGCAGAGGGACTGGAGAGAGTCTCCTGTCACAGTGTGGGTCAATACATTTAAAGTTTTCCTGGATGAGTTCATGACTGAGTACAAACCTCTGGACACCACCATCAGCAAGGTAAAGACACGCAACCGCCTCCTCACTGCACGTGTAACACTTTTTAATGTGTAAGGAAAGTATCTTTACAAACTTTGAATGTCATTTACTCATTTTATCAATGGTATGCATCATGCATTTTTTAATAATGCTTCTAATGAATACTAAAACACATATTTTGGTCTGTTTTGTCTTTTCTTCCTACAGCAGGTACCTAAACCTGAACGTAAAAAACGGAGGAAAAAGGACACTGACATTGTAAGTCTTTCAAGTGTTCATTCTCATCATTACTCAGTACCTGACCTTGATCATAACAAAAGAAAGACGACACTTTGGCTTCAGTTTCTATAACAGTGATTTTTATCCTTGATTTATTCTTCCTGGTTAGCCAGCCTGTCTTCTACACCGCTATGTGCTCTTTGGAATACCAAGATATAAATACACCGGTGATGAGAATAGAAAAAGAAAAAAAGTGTATTAATGTGAAAGGAAATATGCAGACGAACTCCAAATGAACCTTTGCTCTGCTGCTCTCTGCAGGTGGAGGAGCATAACGGCCATATCTTCAAGTCCACCCAGTACAGCATCCCCACATACTGTGAATACTGCTCATCGCTCATTTGGATGATGGACCGTGCCTGTGTGTGCAAATGTGAGTGTGCATGCAAAGTGTCCCACGGGGATTCAGCAGACCTTGAGAATGACCGAATCTCATAGATTTAAAAGAGATAGTCTTGAAAAGGCTGTGATCCTTTTTTTATTTTATTAATTTTGAAGGCCATGGATGGACATTGGAAGGAATGTTTTTTTTATGAATATGTTAATACTGGACTAACTCATCTTTAATTCAGTTTACCAAAAGTTCATCATCAATTTTATGTAATTTTTTTAGTCATTTATCCGGGGAAAATTCCAAATATTTGCTCTCATGTAATTGTAAATGGAATATCTTTGGGTTTTGGATCATTTAGAAGAATGGAAAGAACTATAAGAATAGTGTTGCCTTGCTCTTGAAACTCAAGATGGCTGTTTCATCAGTTAATTAACAATAATCAACATATTAATTGGTAATGCAAATAATTGTCAGTTAAAATGTATGTGATGTTGAAATAGAAAACTTCCCCTTACCTTCACAACAGACATTCACATGAATTTGTACGCACACACAGCTGAGCTGTGTTCAGTCTGGCCTCAGAGAGCGAGGCCCGCCCTCTTTCAGCTCTAATCAGATTGTTTTCAACTGGACTCATGGGGTCTGCCGCTCCGTCTCTCCAAAGATTTCTCCACACAGTTTGTCCTTTATTCGCACAGGATGTTTTCTTCATGCCAGCTAATGCTGCTTTGGTCTCTGAAGCAATAACATTTTTTTCTTTTGTCCCAAATTTTGCTGAATAATGAGGAGACACTGCCTTTCTGTGGATAATGGAAATGACCTGTTTGATTTCTCTGGCTGTGTTTATCCAGTGTGCCGGTACGCCTGCCACAGAAAGTGCTGCCAGAAGACTACCACCAAATGCAGTAAGAAGGTGAGTCGGCCATATTGTGCACCCGAACAATAATGTCCCATGACATTAATTGTGTTACTGTGGGTTTTACATTACAGTAGCTAGTGTTATTCCTGCTACCTAATACAGTGGCAGTGATAGTTCTTAGTTTTTGTAAGCATTTTAAAATGTTTGGTTTATTGCTGTGTGCTTGTATGTACACAACAGTATGTGTTTATCAGAGCACATTATGTTTGTGTCTTTGAACAGTTTGATCCAGAGCTTTCCTCCAGACAGTTCGGAGTGGAGGTTTCTCGTCTGACTAATGACGAGAGGACAGTGCCCCTGGTAGTGGAGAAGCTTATCAACTACATTGAGATGCATGGCCTCTACACTGAAGGAATATACAGAAAATCTGGCTCCACCAACAAAATTAAGGAACTCAAGCAGGGACTTGACACAGGTAACTGTTGCTACTCCTAACTTTTTAAAACAGGCTGTAACGGCATAACAAAGTGAAACAGATGAGAGAAGACTCGACCCTATTTGAAGTTTTACTTAGCTTTGCCCAGAAACAGCTGGTAGAAATGTCCTCCTGAGAAATCAAGAGAGTACTTTTTGATTTTATACTTTGAGCACACATCAGAGCATGTCCTCTTTCACCTTTACTTGAGTAAAGAAGTTGAATCAGATTTTTTTTTTATTTATTATTTGCTGGCTTTTAAACAGAGAAATAGGGAGAGGATTAAATGTGATTACTAAGTTTGGGTTTTGTCTACTTTCTTCTTGTAACCAAACAGATGTGGACAGCATGAATCTGGACGACTACAACATCCATGTTATTGCTAGTGTTTTCAAGCAGTGGTTGAGAGACCTGCCTAATCCTCTGATGACTTTTGAGCTGTATGAGGAGTTTATACGTGCCATGTGTAAGTGGTCAACATCCGGTATCCACTGTGTTTTCAGCTGTTTTCAGATGCATCACACTGTTTATTGCCATGAACAGCAGAGGATATGTTCCTTTGTTGTAACAGTAAATGGTGATTTGTCTTTTGGAAATGCCTCTCCAGGTTTGCAGGATAAAAAGGAAATGATCAGAGGGGTGTATTCAGTTATTGACCAGCTAAGCAGAACTCACCTGAACACTCTGGAACGCCTCATATTTCATCTTGTCAGGTAATAAAAAAGTCAAATAAATGCATACCTGTTTTTATGGTAGTAGTATGGAGTAGGATTAATACATGGAACTGCTTTATTTCCTTCCTGATAGACTATTCTAATACTGAATTCATGCTTTCAGGATCGCCTTGCAAGAGGACACCAACCGTATGTCAGCAAACGCCTTGGCTATAGTTTTTGCTCCCTGTATCCTGCGCTGCCCTGACACCATTGATCCACTGCAGAGTGTCCAGGATATCGGCAAGACGACGGCGTAAGAATATACTTGATGTCCTATAAATGTCAGATAAATTCTGTGACTTTGCCAAAGGCAGCGGTTCACCAAGTGTGGGGCGGGCATTATATTAATCTGTATAATGAAATAACCAATTTGCTAAACTCTTTTCGAGGTCATCATAATCCAATTTAGCAAGATCTATTCAGACAGTGAAGGTACAGTTTGGACAGATTTTTGACAGGGAAGAAAAGACAAGCGAACACATCAGTTAAAGTTGTTCTCACTATTTCTCAGTTCAGCAGAATAGCCTTGTCTAAAAACGTAACTTAAACCATGATAATAATATTTCAATAAAATAATGTTTGGTTTTGTTTGCTGCTGTTTTCCCCAATAATGCTTGAAAATTACTGGGATGGAGGCATGAATTTGTTTCCAAGAAGTTTCCAAAAAAATGCGAACCACTGGCTTAATGGAAAATACGAGGCTCATGCCGTACTCTAAAAATAAAACTGTGTAGAAAGGGGGTTGTTTAACTAGTAATTGTTTAACATAATATGAATTTATGATTTATGCTGTATGTTCCAGTCCTTCTAAAGTGGTTTTGTTTTTTGCCGTCGCTCCACAGGTGTGTAGAAGTTATCATTTGTGAACAGATGAATAAGTACAAAGTACGACTAAAGGACATCAGTAGCCTGGAGTTTGCTGAGAACAAGGCCAAGTGCAGACTGACTCTCATTCGACGGTCAATGGTAAGTTCAGATAATGTGACTAATCCCACTGTTCTCACATGAATCACAAATTTACTCATTGCTAAATATCCCTGACTGACCCATCCTAAAAACTCCTTCAGTGCTATACCCCTGATTTCCTCCTTTTTAAGCTGTTTTTCTCCACTCCTGATTCTCCCCCCTAACCTGTCCTTTCCTTTACCTAGAAACCCGTACTAATAGCCGTTAGATTTATGAGCATAGCGCGCACTATGGTATGTATACAAACACCATGGACTGCATCCCCAAACCGTCATCCAGTGGTGATGTTGTTGTGGTACCAACCATTGCACATGTCTCATCTCTTGAAATATTTACATCCATCGTCTTCATCCCCTAAAGCATGAGTCATCACTTCACTTAGTCTCTGTTTCTGTTATTTATTTATTTTTATTTTTTGGACCAGTCTGACTCTTATGGGTTAAAGTAAGAATATTATGCACATTACATTAGGCTATGTGAAGTATGGAACATATGGAGCATATGGTGTGACTTAATGTCTATAAAAAGAAAATCAGTGCTCACATCAGTGTCTCATTCACATAAATCTAAAACTGGATATTGTGGGTTTTTTTTATCATTACTTTTTCTGAATAAAGTGTGGACAAATCATAATTAACTTGTTTTTATCATTAATCCTTGGAGGAATCTCATTGTACATTTTCTTAGCAAATATCATACCTACTATATCACACAACAGTGTTATGATTACCATTAGCTTTAATGCCCTTTAAAACTGATCTTTATGAATTGAAGATTACTGATTCCTATTCTTTTTACTTCTCACTCTTACTCTAAGCAGCCAAATGCGGCTAAAAAGGTAAAGTTTGTGTTTCATTGTGCCGTATCTCTCTTTGGGTTTAATCAGTCTTATAGTGCACTGGTTCCTGACCTGGGGGTCCCAAAGCCAAAGCTTCAGAGGGGGTCACAAGGCCTTCTTAATTTTAAGGGCTTTAAGAAAACTACACAGTAGACCTATATCTCAGAATTACATTCACTTCTGATATTTTTAATAAAAAATAAATAAAATCTGTCAGGCTAAGGAAACAGTGAAGACCTGAACACAAGCTATATTCACAGAGCCTTCACTCTCTGCTAAACAGCCTCGGCCTCCATTAGAAAAATAGAAAGATAACTCTGAATTTGTCAAAAAGAAACGTATTAAGTATGTATGATTGTTAAAATACATTGTACAGAGAGAACTGTTTAAAAGTTTCTAAAATAACAGGAAAACTCATCTCTGATATAATATATAATAATCAGCTCAAAATTCATCCAAATCCTTCGTTTTATACAAACTTCCTACAGTCAGTTTTACAGTTTATCAGTTTTTCTGTACTGTTATTCTTATGCATTGAATATAATACAACATATTCATAAAAGATGTCACCTTGTCAGGGGTCATCTGTTTATTCAATAAAAGAAATGGCGTCCATAAAGAAAAAGGCTGGGAACCACTGTTCTAGTCCTGCTGTATTCTTTTTAAATTTGACTTGTCATTTCATGTGGTTCAGTTACTGCATGGGTGAGTGAGTGGCTGCTTACTAAACCTGGTGAAATGTACCGTATATGATAGCGAGAAAGTTTTCTTTTAATGCTGGTCAACTGCTTTTTTTTAATGGCGCACAAATGTAATATTCACATTAGTGAGAGGACATCTGCCCTTGATTTGTCTCCTAGGGAAAAGGCCACGTACAGCGACTAAGCTACCACGCGCCTTCGCCTCCAGTTAGTCCCCGTTTGCCATCTGTGGCTGATGTTGTGATAGAAGAAAGTGGTGATGAAGAAGGAGCTGACTCGATTGCACAAATCTCAGAGCATCAGCAGGTGGCCATGCAGCAGGAGGAGAGAGTGCTGACAGAGCAAATTGAGAGCCTGCAGAAAGAGAAGTAAACACAGCCACTGCTCTTAAAATGCTGTGAAAATGTTACATGATCTGTAAATGACTCAAAAAGAACTGAATTTACAAAATCAATTTGAATGTATTGTTACTGTTTGCTGTGTCTCATCGTGTGCATTCAGCTCATTTGTTAACCTAGATCATGTTTACCTCTGCAGAGAGGAGTTGACTTTTGAGATGCTGACTCTGGAGCCACGAGCATCAGATGATGAGACCCTGGAGTCAGAGGCCTCTATCGGTACTGCAGACAGCTCTGAAAACCTCAATGTGGACTCTGAGGGAACCATTTCTGACTTCTCTGGTATGTCATTGTGCAAGAGAGAGCAAGAGGTCATAACTCAGAAAGAAATAATCAGAAACAAAAAAAGAAAAAAGCCAAAACATGTGTCTTTTGTTCTTCCTTCGCAGAGAGAGGTCCAGTATTGACTTCCCCCTGGCCTGGGAGATCCGATGGCAAGAGCCCCCGACGCCGCGTACTCCGCCGGCAACCTGAATCGCTGGACTCTGTGGACTCTTGCTCCAGTGTTTCCTCCTACTCCTCCTCATCACATTTCCACCCATCATCCTCTTCCTCTTCTGCCACCACCCGGCGCTTTCGTTTTCACGGCAAGTCTCCCTCTCTAGGCTCAAGTCCGGCACCGGCCCAGGCCCAGGCCCAGGCCCAGGCCCAGCCCCAGAGTCTGTACACAACCCAAGCCTCCCGATCTGACAGCATAGACAGTAGCCCTACTGGAGATCAGGAAGGCGCATATGATGAAAGGCCCCAGTTTACAAGCCGAGGCACCTTCAATCCAGAGAGGGGCAAACAGAAACTTAAGGGGGCCAAGCATCCAGCCTTGAGGCACTCCAGAGAAGGGGATGGCCACGGCAGGGACCCTCCTGACATACCACAGCAGCTGGTATTGTATGGCAGTAATGAATTCATGGTATGAAGGACCCTGGGACACCAAAGCACTCCCTATTCAGCTCCCTGGTAGGCATATATGTTCTCAATGGGAGGCAACGCAATGGCGAATGATCTCCACTTTTCAAAGCACTCTTGCTTAGCCTTTCTTTGTTCAAGTCTGCAAAGAAGTGCCCCCAAGTGCCGTGTACAGTGTTTCTACCCCCAGAAGGGGGGAATGTTTGGCAGAGGGACAGAAATCAGTGGACTTCTGTGAACTAAACTGCCACCCATGCTCTCACAGTGCCTTGGCAGCTCTTTTCTCAGCGCCAAGAGGAGACGCATTGAGCTGGAGGACAGAGAAAAGGGAATGTTGGAATATGCGGAAGACCACTCTGCATCAGGGAATGTTACGGAGCTGGAAAGCTGAAGCAGTGTACTACAGTAAATAAGAAGAAATCAGGCAACATCGGGCGTCACAGATGTTACAGTGAACTTAAAGCTCACAATTATTAGCTGCTTTATGAGTTTACAGTTCATAACAATCAGTGTAAGCAGTGGTTGCTCTGTTACTACAAATTTATTTTTCCCTTATTTAATAAATTTTAATGTCACAGAAATTCTTTATAGCATATAATATACAGGTATAAATACTGTACAAAGCCGGAACACCAGCTTCTGCTGGGTAGTTGAAGTCAAATATTTATCTTTTTTTTTTTTTTTTTTTTGGAGTATCTTGGACAGAGATGTACGGATTTGGGCAGTGGATGATTTGTGTGTGTGTTTGTTTGTGTGTGTGCATGTGTGTGTGTGCATGTGCCCTGGGCTCATGTGTGAATGTTTGTATGTGTGAGAAAGAGAAAACCACTTTATGTGTTTTAAGTTTGTGCTGCTTTTTTCCCCATACAAGGGAAATACCGCCATCAAAGGGACCAAGTCAGCTGGTGTGTATTCCAGCCAAGGGGATCCCAGCTCTGTAAAGAATGCCGGATGTGTATAAAATTCCTGCATTCACTGCTTAACAGCCATACAACAATTGTAATGTACAGTACACTTCCTATGTACAGTATAGTGGACAAATGCCATTCTATTCTTGAAATCTGTTGTTACCCCCCACTCCCAAACCCATCCCCACCTCCTGTCTTTAAAGTGTTTGCTCAATAGCAACCAAGCAAGAACATAAAATCAGAATGTCTTTTGTCTTTATTATTGAGAATGTTTATTTTTCCATATTGTCTATTATTATGGCCTTTGTTGAAATAATCAACACTTTTTCATTATTGGTGATTTTGCAGCAGTGTCAAAATAATATAGATGACATATTTGAAACAAATCTGTTTTTTAAAAAGACATACCAGGACCATGAAACTGAAGCAGGTTAATGGACTTACTAATCAATGTAATACATGATCCAAGGGAAGAGTTGGCTTGTTACGATAATCTGTGGTCAATAATTAATTATGTATCATTGCAAAACTAATATGATATATACCAGCAGTGTTGGGCTTGTTCCTCAAAACACTACTATGTAATATAAAACACACAAATACACTATTTGGTAATCCCTCAGAAAAGCAGCTACGCCTTCAAACTGACAGTATTTTCTGGAGTCTATGAATGCTTAAAAGTTACAGGCTAGATGGCTCAAACTGATGATGAGACAATCTTTTAAACACATTTTTTTATTTAGAGACGTAGTCTATCTCTAAGTCCAGTATTGTTAAAATTAAAGTAATATTTTCAGCCCCTGGATGTAAGTGTTTCCATGATCCGAGCTAGCTTGTCTGCTTCATGAGAGGCATGATTACAAAAATTAATTTGGGGATGCGATTGGATTGTTGAATTTCAAAACAGTAGTGGGGAGACAACAAAAGTAAGACTGTAACTGTGATATTATTACTATTATTATTTTATCTGTAATTAGTTAAACTACTGTAATATTATTAATATTATTGACTAGTAATACGTTACTACCTAAAACTGCAGACCTGTATAATTAACAAGGGTGCAGGTGTGGTGAAATCTGCCCACCATTAGTGTTTAGGTGAGACCATATAACTTTTGAAAGAAGAAATAACATTATTTCTTCTTACAGAAATACTGAGTTCATGAGAAATGTAAAACTTGCTCAATTCAGTTTGCCGCTGCTACAGTATGACCAGTAGTTTATGGAGACTAATGTTGGCAAACTACACATATTGTGCAGTTAATTTGTTGACTAACTTGTGCTACTGTTACATCAGCATTTATCATTATCCTGTAATAAACCTTATTCACGGCAGCCATTTTGATATGAAGTAGTAGTTGTTACCAATGATACTAATAAGGCTCTGTTCCATTTAGTGTAGCAGAGCTTTTGCAGTGAGCCAACATGCACAATAGCTGCACCCTGACTCTGTTTGACCTGAATGGAATGGAATCTAAATCGGTATCATTGGCAACGCCTGTGTTTACCCTATAATTTCATGTTAAAATGGCTGCTGTGATAAAGGTCTACTGTCACCACATTAATAATTATATAGGCTCACTTAAAAGAAGAGGCTGAATTGTGTTCTAAACCTCAAAGACATAATCTGCTGTTAACTGTCTAACAGTTTGTGTATATTGTAGCAAATATTTACCCAGTCAATGGTCACTTATTGAAGTGATTTCACAGTCTTTGATAACCGTGTGGTTTAATGTTACAGTGTTGCTGGCTGAATGCCATATCATTGCTTTAGGGATCTGTTGTCTCCTACAAGGAAATGAAATTAGACCTTCAGTACAGGTGTCTTCCTCTTGCAAGAACAGATGATTTAATATATGTTTTTTTTTCTGTCACTGGCCTTCTCTGCATTTGTTCTTCCTTCAGGTGCTGCTCCGGTCCTGGAAAGTCGTTTGACTAATTAACTTAGAGGAGCAAGAGTTACTCAACCCAGGAGTCAAGTATTTTGCATTTTTATTGTCACAGAAATGATGGTCTATGGTTGGGTGCTCATTTTTCCTTCTGGTAAAAAGTGAAATTGGCTTTAAATCAAATGTATTAAATCTAATGAACTGCTCCGGAGATACAGCGATTGAAACTCAGCTCACCTCTCATGCAGCCCAAAGAGAGCAGGCAATGCTTTTTTTTTGTTTTCATTCACATTCACAAGTCCATGTGTTTCATCACCTTTGAATATCACGAATATCATAAAAATGTCCAGCCATAAATAGAAATAAAAGCAATTAGGGAGCATATGCAACAGCTAAAAGAGGTGCAGTGATGAAATGTAATGTAACAACGTGTAATAACAACCTGCCCAGCCTTAGAGGGGATCATTATGTGAGGAGTTATAACAAAAGCAACCTTTAAAGTAAATGTAGTTTCTGTGCTGCAGTGTCCTAATGAGGAAGATCAGATGTGCTGAAGTCAACCCCAAAAGTGATGCAGCTCTGTGTATTGTTATTACCCATCTAAACCGGTAATAATAATAGTTTCTTTATAGCGCAAGAAGCACAAAGTGATGTACAGAGCTGAAGGGCTAAAAGACAACCACAGGCAGTGGTGGAAAATGTATTCAGATATCTGTTACAAGAAAACATCCTGCATTCAAACTCTTACTTAAGTAAAAGTAGAAAAGTATTAGGATCAAAATATACTTTTGAAAAATCGTGTATATTACTAGATTAAGATTAGTGATGCATTAATGTGTTTCACTTTAATGTTGCAGCTGGTTAAGGTTGAGCTTTTTTGATTTGATTTATTTCACATCTCAAATAGATACATATAAACCATGTCAAATATTGCAACAAATACATACATATTCCTAAAAAAAGTTAGAAAAATAACTTTGCTTTCATCATGGTCCTAATTTTAATGACTTTACATACGTTAGCTCCCCTATAACAATATATTAGTTGATTTATATTTCGATTAATCTAAATCTGCAGTGTAATTCTTAACTAAAGCTATTAAATGAATGTAATGGAGTAAAAAGTCTCAAATAGTGTAATGGACTAAGTATAAAGTAAAAAAAAAATATGGATATAGTTCCTTAAATTGTACTTAACTACAGTAAATTCAACCGCTGACCACAAAACATAAGCTGCTGCACAATAAAGTTCACATTAAAAGAAATAAATCAACCTATAACAGGACATGGGTTCAGTCGTTTATGGATGTCACAATTCCGACAGCACCTAAAGGCAACGTGAAGCCTTTGAAGCCCAGAATAAAGTTTTAAAAAAGAGCTCTCTTTGTACGTTCACCACAATAGACTGCATCTCATTTCAAACCCAGACGTGAAGGAGACTGAATCCAGACTGTCACGAGAACCGCACATTTGAAACCAATTGACATTGTTTCTAAAAATATTGGCTAATTGATTAGAAATGACTCCGGGACAGCCTCCGGTGACGCTTGTCCACCTTATCGGCCGACGCATGCGCAGAGGCCTAGTGTCACAGCAGCACCATCATCAGGAGGAGCAGCAGCCGCCGACGCCGGGGGAAAGACGGGAGCTGTCGTGTTGTTTATTCCACACAAGATAAACTTTTCTCCACAATGTCGGGATTTGACAGCAACCCCTTCGCTGACCCAGTGGACGTAAACCCCTTCCAGGTGACTTTGCTTTATGTGTGCGAACCGAGTTTTTAAAAAAAGGGTGTATTTGTTTTTTATTTCGTGTAAAGTGAAGACTGAAAGAGATATGCTGCAAGGAAAAAAAAAAACCTGTTTGGTTGGTTGCTGGGTTTGGCCTCAACATTTCCTGACTGTGAATCGACAGTATTTTGTAGAATGACACGTTGTAGTCCAGTTATTGGCTGTGTATAAAGATTAAGTGTTAAAACGGTGTGTTTACGCCGTAGGTGGGCTGTTAACTCACCTGCGCAGGTAAGCAGAGCCACGAACAGGTGCCTGTTGATGTTCAGCCATCAACTGTGACTCCACTTCAACCATTCGCCATTGATAGAAACCAGATGGCACATTACTGGGATTTAATGGCGCACTTCGGTGCCTCATACGATCTTTAATTAGTGGTGTGTGTGTTTGTCTTTTAGTGTATTTATCACATCCCAGTGTGTTCAGGTCTAAAAGCTCTGAGAGTTAATGGTTATAGTGAAAGTAGCACTGTGTTTTTACCTGTGTGTGTGCTTAAAGGGAAAGAAAACATCATATTTTGCTTGTTTAAACCTAATGAACTGTGTTTTAATTGAGACAAATGTGGTTCAGGGCTGTTAATAGTTAATGTGGTGTGTCTTCCTGACTGGATGTGACCCAATGGGAGACACACACACACACACACACACACACACACACACACACACACACACTGCACTACTAAACTAAAACATGGCTTCTCAGCAATACATCCAGTGGTGGAATTTAACTAAGTATGTTTACTCAAGTACTGAACACAAGTACAAATTGGACATACCGTCCAATGTATGTGTACTTTACTAATTCTATTTTACTCAACTTTACACAAATATTATAATATTATAATTTGTCTCACAGCTTTAGTTACTTTGTATATTACACTTTTTCAAATGCTTCCTGTCCAGTGAAAACTGCCAAATTTGGTGATTTTGAATTTTTTTGAGGAAATACTTCTTAATCCAAATAAACCATTTTAAACCCCGTCTTGGATTAGCTGGGGAAAAAAGCATTGTCACAAAGCTTAGCTTAGAGTTTATGAGAAGTTGACATTTAGAGATACATATTTCTCACAGGACAGTGACGCTACAAACATATCATGATTTCATATAATATCATACACTGATGTAGATTAAACTATCCAACAGTATATAAAGTTCTGAAAATTTGCTCAACCTTAAACATCTACAGCAGTAATATTAATCTAAAAAACATAATAGTAAAATACTTTATACCTTTTTTCAGTTCACTTTTGCTACTTTAAGTACGTTTTGCTGATAATGCCTACATACCTTTTACCTGTAGTGGAGTTATGTTTGATCTTGTTTTTCAGGATGCCTCAATCACACAAGCCACCAGTGGAGCCAATGAAAACGTTGGGGAGTACAACCCATTCTCTGCAAGTGCAGCGGTGAGCTCATCTCTTTTTACTATATGACTTCTGGTGTGATGTTGTTCCACCGCTGAGAGGTTAATTTAGTTGCTTCAATTGTTTCACAGGGAAACAACACTGGCACGACGATCCCCATCTCTGCTTCCTCCTCGCAACCCGCCATCCTGCAGACCTCTGTGGAGCAGAGCGCACAAGTGAGTCAGATGCACACATTTATATATAAGGGAAGTTAAATAAGATGGTGGAGGTTAGACTGCATCTGTTGTTAGGAGTAGACACTGGTTTTAAGTGTGTAAAACAATAATAATACACAACTGTTAATGATTGTATTGTTGTACCAGCGAGTAGAACCTCACCAATACTGAGTTTTGTAGGCTGATATTGATACAATACATAGACAGAAATAGACTTTTTTTCCATATAAACAGGAATACCAAAAGACATTTTGCTAAGGATCCCTTAAAGTTATTAGGGTTATTGTGACACAAAATCTGTGATCAGAATATGTATATTTCAGACATCTTACAGTTGAAAACTCAACTTCCATATTTGTAATAAGCTAAAAACTGGGTGATAGTATTGCCTGATTGTAGTATCAATATATAGAAGTTGCGCTATAGTAGTAGTCAGAATCAGAAATGGGTTTATTGTCAAGGAGGTTTTTCACATACAATGAATTTGCCTTGGTATTTTGGTGCATAACAGTCACAATAAACATAGTAAGAGGAAAAAAACAAGAATCAATAAAAATATATCTCCTTTAAAATGAAAAGTGCTGCACATTCTTAAACAGTAGTTAGAGTCAGTAGTTACAACCCAACAATAATCGGTTGTGGTGGGGTGGATGTACTGTTGCCAGTGGTGTAGTTCATTCATTTTTCCCATCACAGTGCTATTGGGAGGAAAATGCAGCAGGGAGTTGTAGTGATGCATTAACAATATTCAACTTACACAGTGTTAAACAGTGTAGCTCTTCCATCACCCACCAGGCAAGTGCGGCTGCTGGCCAGGCTAACCTGATCAAACAGCAGGAGGAGCTGGAGAGGAAAGCAGCTGAGCTGGAGCGGAAGGAGCAGGAGCTACAGAACAGGAACGCAGGCAGATCGGGGAATACTGGTGGTAAATTGTTCAAGCTGTTTTAGAAGCTGGATGTAAACTCATGTTCTACGTATGGACTGTAAGAATTGACACACCACGCATTATGTTTTTTTTCTGTCTGTCAGCTAAAGAGAACAACTGGCCACCTCTTCCTAAGTTCTCCCCCGTGAAGCCCTGCTTCTATCAGGACTTTGAGGAGGACATCCCTGAAGAGTACCGCAGGTTATGCAAGAGAATGTATTACCTCTGGATGTGTAAGTACCCCTGCATGCAGTATTTGTTCAATACCTCCTCACACAACAAAGTGGCTTGTTTTTGAATATGAAAGAGTCATTGAAGAAGAAAAAAAGACAGTATGGCTGACATCAACACTCTCTAGTTTGTTGATACTTGTGAGCTGGAGATGGAGATTCTTCCTGTAGATTATAGTTTTGGCAAATGCATCTTCACGTTTTACTTTACAAAAGAATCAGGATATACAACATAATACCCCTAGTTTGCTATATGATATTGGTTAATTAATCTGACACTTTTGTGGCTTTTGGGGGGCTTTTTTAATTATATGATGATATTTTGAGATTCTCAGAATTTGCATTGGTTCAGTTCAGTGCACATTATTATAGTCAAAACATCACTCACACATGCCAAAGATGGTTCAGAAGAAACATACACAACCTTTTTTTTTTTTTTAGCTATCCAAAAGCCAAGTGGTGTACTAGTCTTTAGCTTGACATCTTTAGTGATAGTTACCATTTCACCTCCCCCAGTCCAGCTCATTGGTTTCCTGTGTTTCCCCAGTCCACAGTGCCACTCTCTTCCTCAACGTGCTGGCCTGCCTGGCTTACTTCACTGCAGACTCTCAGTACGGCGTTGACTTTGGTCTGTCCATCCTCTGGTTCATACTGTTCACCCCTGTTGCCTTCGTCTGCTGGTACAGGCCCGTCTACAAGGCCTTCAGGTACGCTGTTTCACCAGCCTCGTGCTGATTCTTTGATTTGCATTACTTCACAGGACTGGATGCAACTGTTTTGTTGTGAAAGCAGAAGAAATAGGGACACATTCAGATGAACTAGTTAGCAATGTTTTCTTCTTTTTTTCACTTCAATAAAACGTTGTGACACCCCGCTTTTCTTATCAGAGGAGAAACATCTGAAACAGCATTTAGATCTTCACTCAACTCCAAATTGCTCCAATTGGACTTAATATTTGTTAAAATTAAGTTGGAGGCTTGAAATTGTCGACGTGCCCTTGACTCATTTTTCTAACCTGTACCCTTCAATGTCTTCAATTAAGTGTAACCCCTATATCTAATAGTCTGGCAGCAAAAATCCTCTACTCCTATAATATCATAATCTACAATATCACTAATAACATATCATTTGTGTTTCTCCTCGCCAGGTCTGACAGCTCCTTCAGCTTCTTTTTCTTCTTTTTTGTCTTTTTCTTCCAAGTGGCAGTGTACGTCATCCAGACTGTAGGGATCCCCAAGTGGGGAAACAGGTCAGTGAGAAGCTTTTTAACTGAGTAATGATCATGTTGGAAGGTGTGGTGTAAATGCATGAGACAATTGTTTTTTTCTAACAACTAGTTTCTATTTTCATTGTTAAGAATGAGTCTGTACACTGTGCTTTGGGTAGATTTATAGTAAATGTGGATATGCATGGGTCAGTGTGTCTCTTCATCACATCTCTGTGTGTGTATTCTTGCCCTGTATCTCCTTTCTTGCATCTCTTTGACAGATTCCTCCTGCCCTAACTTGTCTGGGTTGCTGCTTTGTAAGTCTGGGACTTTTCTCTTTGGGTTTCTTTTCTATATCATGTAATATATTAGGCTTTTCAGTTTCCCATTATTCACTTTTTCAAATTTCATGCTTTTCCATTGGTCCCTGGGGCAGGTTAGGATGTTGGTTTGTTTCTCTTTAACTCAGTAATTTTCATATGATTTTATAATTTTGCTGTATAGTGTACAATAGACACTCCGTGTAGAGCAACTGTGAAATGACACATTTGTTTGTATGTCTCTGTTTTTGACAGTGGATGGATCTCATCCATCAGCATGATCCGCACAAACTTGGCTGTGGCTGTGGTTATGATGGTTGTGGCCGGTTTCTTCACTGTAAACGCTATACTGGCTGTCATCCTACTAAAAATGGTACGCTAATGTAAATGTTTTACAACTTCTCTTCACAAAAGGGAATATTAAGTCATGTTACACCTTTGCAGATACTCTGGTTACTGTTTGAAAATTAACCAATCAAGTTAAATATACCATGTGTGTCTGGGTAGGTTACATAACCCCAAGTTTGCTATTTTAACATGAAGTGCAGTCTACACATACTGTTTGTTTGCAGTAAAAGTAAGGATGGCAGTGCCTCATAATTAACTGAACTGGCCCAAAATAGAAAGTCGAACATGGCGCGGCATACATATACAATGCAATATGTGTATTCTCACCGTGGCTCCATATTGTTTATTCTTAGTCCAACTCAGTGAAGGCACATGTAGATCAAAGAGAGAAACTAAAAGTGGTGGTGGCAAAAAAGTTTAAACAGCAGTTGCAATGAAGGGGCAAAGGCAAGGCATCAGACGGAATATGAATATTTAGAAACTGCTGAAGGGTTATATAGGTTCAGAAACACTCTGAGCAAGCTGAGGCTACAGACAATGTATCTGAAACAAGTCAACCAAACATGCAACAATCCAGTATATAATTGTTAGGTAAATAATGGGAGATGGAAAAATGTATCTGCTAGAAAATCAACTTTCTTTTTAAGTAGAGTGGCACTCCAGTGGATGAAGACTTACATTCATTTTAACAGTATAGTTCATAAGAAATAAACATAAAACCTAAAAAAAAACCCAACCTAACCCACAAATTGACTCCACAAGCAGCTACTTACTGCCTGGGTGTACTGTGAATTAGATCATTGTGCAGGTGTTAATAGTGAGAGTTGACTAATTTGTTGGGTGTGGTTCGACATTTGATCCGCCCTAATCAGTGTCCCTTTTCCCCTTTTCCCCTTCCCCCAGGTCCACTCTAAGTACAGAAGGACAGGTGCCAGTTTCACCAAGGCCCAGCAGGAGTTCTCCCAAGGAGTCCTGACAAACCGAACAGTCCAGACTGCAGCAGCAAGTGCTGCCACCTCGGCTGCCCAGGGAGCGTTTGGCAGGAGTCAGGGAAATTAGACGGTCTCCTACAGTCTCCGTGCTTCAGGCTAGTCTCTTCTCTGACCAACATACCAGACTAGCTACTTCCCAACATTCTTCAACAAGTTCGGGAGATCAGGGTTTAATTATTTAATGAAAAGGGCCGGAAACAGGTTGGGTGAGGTGTAAGAAATCAGAAACTGAAGTTGAACAAAATGAGACAAAAAATGAGGCAGAGTGGGTATGACAAAAAATAAATTCACCTCATAACAGCATAACCCCTGGAATGCATTTAACATAGAATAAAGATATAAATGTGGGAGTATCTGCGGTGCACTACTGACTAAACGGGGTTCAGTTAAAAACTACATTTATTTAAATCTGTCATTGTTAAAGACCCTGCTGGTGAAAAGTATTAGGGTTTTTCTTTCTCACTCGTCATGTAGAAATAACATCATGGGCCTCAAAAATAAACTGTGTGTAGAGTTTGGATTATATAAAAAGCATACTTGACATTAGAATGTTTTACCATCAGTGAATGATGGAGCCACATAATGTACAGGTATGTATACAGATTTGTTCATGAACAGCAGCAGGTATTGTGTTACAGGTAACCAGTCTATCATTGTGCCTTGTGGGCATGAAGTACAATCTACACTACCGCGTTCTGTAAAATGAGAAGCATCCTGTCACATGTTACACTACTGATGGGCACAGTTGCAGTTACATGTAATGTTTTGATGTGTATAATACTGTATAGGATAAGCTGATGATTAATGAAGGTGACGGGATGAAGGGTTTCTTTTTTTCTACAATTTTAATCAGCTTACTGATCTAGATGAAGTGAGATGTACAGCTCTTCTGGGGGCAAATGAAGATGAGGTTTAACTTAATATTTTAATTCATGTTGAGTTGTTAAGAATAGCAATTATGTCTTTCTGTCATAGTATGGAGCCTTGTTGTGGTTAAAATGAAAAACAGGGTGCAGGTTTATTGTAAAGTTACCGACATATTGTAGAATTTAGACGTATTTACTAAAAGAACAGTGCATTCATGAGCGTAAAGAACAAAATATCTGTCGATTATCCATTCTTTTGACTTTGTGTTATAGTAATTATACTGCAGACAAAAGTCATGTTACTGAATAGTCGAAGATAATTTGTATTTTCTAGCTGCAACTACTTGTTAGGTATTAGCATTTTCATGTTTTTTTATTTGTGAATAAATGTTGTCTAATTCTAATCTTTTGTTACTGTAACACTAAATCATTTTGTTTAAATGTAACCTCTGTGCTTTAAGGCAGATGAAACCTACAATTTCTCCTGTGAGGATTTAAGCACAAGGCTGTTGGTTATTAGTGTTTTATCTGATTATGTTTGTCTTCATAGAGAAATTTGTTTTATGGTGATGATGATGATCAGAATATGTATTAAGGTGTGTTGTACATATTGGTGACTTATTTAAAACATATTTACTGGAGGCTTATTTGTTGGAAATCGGTTCTCAGTCTTAACCTTCAATAAACTGTAAAACTTCTTGTTACATTTCCGATGTCTTGAGTTTTTAGCTGTTCCACCGGAGAGGATTTTACGTGTAAATTATCCAATAATTCACAAAAAGCAAGGACTAGAACTTTCTTTTTTCTACTTTTCTCTCCCATTAATCGTCTCACAACCCCTCCGATTTATCTTGTGACACTTTGGGAGGCCCAGCTCCTTGATTAGGAACCACTGGACTTAACTACCCATACAACTGTGAATAAAACTACTCCAACAGCTACAACAGTAAAATGCTGCTTACACACATGCACCAGTAATAACAAGCTAATAGAGGCTAACAAAAATCAGTCACACGGGACATTTTACTACAGAACAAATAGGCTATTTATTAGGACTGGAGGACTTTAACTTGTAATGGAGTATGTTTATATTAAATTAAGTGAAGGACCTAAATATTTCTTACATCACTGGTCTTGTATGAAAGGTGTCCTTTACAGACTGCTGCTGTTTTACAGTCTCGGGCACACTTTTGGGTGTTTGTCTCACCCATTCTCAAAACATATTTTGTTTCTAATTTCAACAATTAAGAAACAAAACTGGAAAACAGAAATGTGGAAAAACTGGCCCTTGGTTTAAAAATCCTGTCTACAAGACCTGTAAACCCATTATAAAAATAAAAAAAAGCTCCATGGATAAACCTTATGGTGTCAAGTATATCCTTGTGGTATAATAAACTATATATTTGTATATTTATATATATATAATATTGATTGTAAGTTGTTGAGGACATTCATAAAATCCGACCAGCTACACCTCCGCATTCCACTGACGTATCCATGGCAACAGCTTCTAGTGTTGATCACCCCAAGATGGCGGACGAGGAGAAAGGCACGGAGGTGAGTGCAAAAAAAAAAAAAAACCTCCAAAAGCTAGTTATCGTTTTTATTGGTTAAACATAAAACATGCCGCTGGGTCAAGTGATAGTGTGACACTTGTTGAGCAAGCGTAACGTCAGGTTTTGAGTATAGCCCTCGCGTAACGCTTGTCATTTGATTGTTAACTAGCCGCCTGGCTAACCGTGCCTAAGTCGGAGCTAAGTTGATTAACCCAGAGAGCTAACGATAACTTGGGTTTCACTCTGCTTTTAATCTCACACATCCAAGATAAAAAAATCCGAGAGAGCTAATTTAACAGCTAACGTTATAAGGTGCCGAAAGGTGACACCAACAGAGATGCGTAGGTAGCGCTACAGATACTCACTTTATACTGCAGCGTTAAATAGGTTGGATAACGTTATTAACGCTGCTTAACTATCGTTATCCAGCTCTGCAGTAACTTAGACAAACCCCAGTTGTGAAATATATCAGCTGCACTGTTTTGTGTCAGTAGCTGCACTCAAAGCAATCCACAAGTGAGTCAAATGTGGGGAAAAAGAAACGATGTGAAGCTAAACACTAGAATGGCGCATGCGTGCATCTACCTGCATAACAGCACACTGGTGTTTCTGTTAATGTATTAACTCATTAACATATAGGTAGTCACTAAGAGTGGCAAAGGTTGTAATAGGAGTTTTCTATCATATTGTTTTACTGTAAAGCACATTCAGTTTATCTGTGTATGAAATGTGATTGACTTAATAAGTGATTAAGAAAAGGCTGTGGTGTATGAAGTAACTGTCAGTAGGCTGGGTAGAAAAACAGGCGTACAGGTGTACTAATAGATACTAATAGATACTGGAACTTAGTGTGAGCCTCACAACTTTCAGAAAAATACCCCCGGTCAATTGCTGCACCTCTCAGGAATTTGAATTTTAAATTAAATCTAAATCTGTAATGATAGGAGAAGCAGCTGCACACTTCTAGGCAATCTTTTGGTCAGAAATACTGTGTAGCATCAACACCTCCAAGACGCTTTCATCTGGTGAACAGTGAACTAAATACTTTTTAGGAAGAAGGCATGTTGTGCAGTATACCACTGTAATTAAAGTCTGACACACCTGTAGACAGTGGACAGAGTGAGTTTGCTGGAGGTCTTCAAACTAAAACATATCATATAAATAAATTAGTGTTTGCCACAACATTTATTTGTGGTGTATGGCGGTGAGGAGGGAGGGGCTCTTGTACATGTACAGCCAGTGGAGAGCAGTTTAGATAATTGTTTGTTCAGCAAGGACTATATAGAGTTAAAATCAGTAACCTCGCAGTCAGCTTTGAACTCTTTTTACACATTTTACAGTTCTTGAGAAGGACATACTACATTCATACTGTACATCATACAATAGTACATTCACAGCGTTATAAAGTCATTTTCATGGTGTGTTCATGTACAGTCGTAGTCAGTCTAAACTTTGACCTATATTTCTACACAGTAACAGAAAGAAACAATATAAAACACTCTTTTTGGGTGGGGCAAATCTATTTTGGTGGGGCCACTGTACATAATGCTCCTGGGAAACATTGCATTGCGAAATTTTCTGGACACCATTGATCAGTGTATGTTTTGTACCCTGTTACATATTGAGTTGTTTTTGTTGTATTTCATATGTTTCAGCTCCCAGTTGCTACTGAAGCCAAGAAACGTCGGGCACCTAAAGGTACTATATGACAGTTGACACTCACAAGTCATCATACACAGCAATTTTCAAACATAATTCCTTTGACACCCATTATTTTGTCATTCATTTCTGACAATTTGTCTGTAACCGATACTAATAGAGTGAGTTTGGAACTAATCGTCCTGCAGAGGTCACCCTCACCCTTCTCTCTACCGGCCCTAGAAGGCAGAAGCTATGCATACAGTATGCTGCTGAGCCATGTTCCAGATATTTCTCTCTGTGTTTGTGGATCATTGAGGATATATTGTCATCATAACTAATATCCCATTAACCGCTGTTGCTCATGTATTAAGCTTTTTTGTTTTTGTTTTGTTTTACAGTGTTTTCTAATTATCATCAGCACTGCTAAGAATGCAAATCCTTCGAGAGCAATTAAGTGCATGCTATGTTATCGTATTGTATGCTGTTTTATTGCCATGCATTTGATATAGCATGCAAGCCTTACTGTGGTGTACTGAGTATAATTTGAAGAGTCAAATTAAATCAAAACCAGATGACTGAGTAATGAAGTAATAAATATGGAGAATAAAGAATGGATTTTAATTCAAAGCAATAAAACCCTAAGTCAAGTCAAAAACAGTAACATTTTTAACTCTGCTTATGACTCTAATATGCCAATATTAGAAAAGAAAACAACCATTAGTAGTATAATATTTGGAATAACCATACAATAAAATGCAATATAAAAATAAGTAAATATAAAAATGTGATATAAAGCTGTAAGAACGTATGCCACAGGCATACAGAGTACATAGAACAATAATTGGAACTTGCTGAGCTAAAAACTTGAATGGCAGTCAGATGCAAAAACTTACCTTCTTCTACAAGGAACTGTGACCACATCATGTCTTACACATACAGTATTAACAAATATAATTAGTAATTTAATTGCTCTAAGAAGAAAGTGTTATGTATAAAATAATTGAGTTATGAAGTCTAGAATCCCAACTATCATTGGATTATGAAATGTGGTCAGCCATAGTCAATAGTGAACCATATTGTTTCTCAAAACTCTAAAAAAAACCCTTGAAATAATCAAATAAAAAGACACAAATCTCAGTTTAATTGTCTCCATAAGCTATTGAACTCATATTCCTTCTGTAATTACCATCATGAAATGTAATTAGGGTTATCTAATGCACATAAAATTAATTATTTTAATGTACAATAAGTTAATTATGTCGCTTTATTTGTGCAATGCAGTTACTACATTCTTAGCTGGTAACAACCAAGAGGCAAAAATAAGAGTAAAGAGTATGCCCACAAGAAAGACCTAAAATTGTTGCTTTTAAACCAGCTTCAAAGATTGCCAATGGTATAAGGTGATTTCACCTGTTTCAAGTACAACATGTTTACATTTTATAGAATCTAGTGTCAATTCCATGATATTAGTAAAGCAATCTGCCTTATTTAGTCTTTTTTCAGGATGTTGACACTCATTTCTGTCAGCTTTCTAAGTAGAGCAGACAAGACCAAGGGTTTTTGAAGTTTTTGTGGTAAAACTTCCAAAATAATTTTCATCGTATTTTGCATTACATTCTCCCCATGTGTCTTTTGATCTCAGCATGCCTCTCCTCTGCTCTTATCCCCTTTTAACAGATGGTTGAATCACATGGAAGGCAAAGCTGTCTTAGCATTAGCCAGATCAAATATAACAATGAGAAAATTCCTCAATTTTTGGGATGAAGTTTTTCACAGAACTATATTTAGGAGACCTCTCGCTGTGCTCTTCTTCCTTGCTCCTTTCTATCCTTGTTTCATACAGTCGTTGCAGGAATATGTGTCAGACATGTATCCCATCTCTCCTCACCAAATATGCCCTGCTTTGTATGTGGAGACTAGAGCACCGCAGGGCCACTGCTGAAACCCAGAGACAAGAATATTATTGCTGTCTCAGCAGGAAGAAAGCGGATTAGGGTGCTACAAATAGGGCGATTCCGAATCTTGACGGGGCAAACGTGTGAAGCCCATGCAGTTTCACACTCAGCGATGGAGAGGATTTCTCTGAAGTAGCTGGAAGAGGATCCAGTTCTAGCGGCAAATCAACAGAACACTGCTTGAAGCGCTGACAGATAAAAACAGAAGGGAGCTTTAGTGTAATTCACACTGTATTTCTTTACACAGGCAGTTCATTAATGATATCCCCCAAAGTCAGTGGCAGACTCAAAGCCTGGCACTTCATTTTACATTGCCATGAATCCTATTTTTAGTCTCAGAAGGTAGAAGGTGCAAGATAACAGGATTACCAGAATCAAACTCGCTCGAATTGGAATTACGTTTGCTTCCTTGTGAAATGAAATGTTGTACTCCACTGGGAAGAAGACTTGGAGCATTGTGGTGGAGTTCTTGAGGTTACCTAACCCTTTCTAAAGCTGGCTTTGTATTGTGCTGCTCATACCTCCAGCCTCCCTCTTTCAGTCTGTCTCTAT